CCCCTGACCACCGCAGCCTCGACCTGCTGGGCTCTGGCGATCCTTCCGCCTTAGCCTTCCAAGTAGCTGGAACTACAGGCGCGCGCTACCACACCCGGCTAATTTTTTTGATTTATTGTAGAAATGAGGTCTCGCCAAGTTGCCCAGGCGGGTTTCAAACCCGCAGGCTCAGGCAATTCACTCACCTCGGCCTCCAAAGGCACAGGATTACAGGCTGAGCCACCGAGTCTGGCCTGAAAGTCTGTTTTAAGTGATAAAGGTATAGCTACTCCTACTTGCTTTTGGTTTCTATTTGTGTGGAATCTTTTCTAGCCCTTCACTTTAAAGTCTATATTTGTCATTACAGGTGAAATGAGATTTTTGTAGGCAGTATGAAGTTGGGTCATGTATTTTTTTAAAAATCAACTCAGCCAGTCTGTATCTTTGTAGTGGGGAATTTAATCTGGTTCAAGGTTATTATTGATAGGTGAGGACTTATTCTTGTCATTTAAAAAATTGTTTTCTGGTTTTCAATGTTCTTTGTTCCTTTCTTCCTCTCTTACTGCTCATCATTGCAGTTTTGCGGTTTTTTGTAGTGGCAACATCTGAGTACTTCCTCTTTCTCATTTGTGTGTCTTGTCTACCAGTGAATTTTAAACATTCATGTGTTTTCATAATGCTTAATGTTGTTCTTTCACTTTTAGATGTAGGACTTCCTTAAGTATTTTGTGTAGGCTTGTCTAGTTGTGATAAATTCTCTCAGCTTTTGCTTATCTGGGAAATACTTTATTTCTTCTTCCTTTTTTTTAAAGGACAGCTTTGCTGGGTATAGTGTTCTTGACTGACAGTTTTGTTTTGCAACACTTAAAATATATTCACCAATTCTATCTTGGCCTGTAAGATTTTTGCTGAAAAATCCACTGTTAGTGTAATGGAAGTTCTCTTACATGTGATTTGATGTTTTTCTCTTGCTTTTTAATATATCTCTTTGTTTTTTACTTTTGGCAGTTAGATTAAATGTGCCTTTGGGAAGACATTTTTGGGTTGAATGTAGTTGGGGATCTTTATGCTTTCTGTATCTAGATGTTTATAGCTCTTGCACACAAGGGGAGTTTTCAGCTATTATTTTGCTAAACACGTTTCTTATGCCTTTACCCATCTCTTATTCTACTAAAGCACCCACAATTTGAATATTTAGTCACCTTATGGTGTTCCATATGTCACATAGGCTTTCTTTATTATTTTTTATTCTTTTCTTTTTTAAAAAATTTGAATGCGTTATTTCAAAAGACCTATCTGCAAGTCCAGAAATTCTTTCTTCCGCTTGAGGCAGTGTATTGTTGAAGTTCTCAATTGTATTTTTATTTTATTCATTGAATTCTGCAGTTCCAGTTTTTTTGTTTTTTGGTTTTTTTGGTTCTTTTTTTATGATATCTATTTCTGTTGAATTTCTCATTCCAATCATGAATTATTTTGCAGATTTCTTTGTATTTAATGTCATTATTTTGAATTATTTTTCAGGCATTTCATAAATTTATTTTTCACTGGAATCTGTTGCTGGAGAACTGCCTTTGGAGGTGCTGTGTCCTTGCTTTTTCACATTTTTTGTGTCCTTATGTTGATATTTGAGCATCTGATGAAACATTTACCACTTCTAATTTTACAGATTTGCTTTCATAGGGAAATATTTTTCCTTATAGAAAAGATATATCTATAGTGTTGGTTGAGTAGGTTGCTTTGGCTTTTATGCCAAGTGGATGCAGTAGTATAGTAATTGTATAATTTCTTTGGTAGTAATCAGTGTCAGTGGTGTCCGTGAGTTCCTTGGTGGCTTAGGCTGCTGTTGTTAGTGGCGGCTGTGAGAGACTTTTCTGAGGAATGTGGTGAGATTTTGCTGGAAATAGGGTTGTCAGGTAAGCTTGTTCTCAAACCCCAGTGGAGGCAGTGTGGTTGGAATCCAGGCCCTTAGGCCTCCATGTGGCGTATGCAGGCACCAGTGGTAATGGGTCCGGGTGGATCAATCCTTGGGCTGCCAAACAGCTTTTTCAGGTTCCTGTAGTGCCAGTGGTAGGCCAAGCATGAAGGCAGATTTTCTGACCCCTAAGCATATGTGGCATTGGCCATAGCAGTAGGCCAACCCTAGAAGTAGGTCCCAAGAAGCATGTATGGGCACAAGTAGTGGTCTCAGCCAGCTGGCAGGTGCCTAGGTGGCACATGCAGGTTGGTACTGATGGCAGCGATGATGGTGGGCTGGACAGGCCCATTCACAGGCCTCCAGGAGGCATGCACAGATGCTGTCAGTGACAGATGGGGCAGGTTGATCCTCAGGCCCCCAGAAGTGTACAGATGCAAGCTGGGTGGGTGGGCTTATCCTCAGGCCCCTGGAGGTCATCCACAGGTGCCAGCAGTGGTAAGAAAGGAAGACCAATCTCCAGGCCCTCAAGTGACAAGTGTAAGCACTAGGGGGGATGGCACTGGATGGAGCAAACCTGTCCTCAGGCCCCCTAATGATGCATAGGTAGGTACAGGCTGTGATGAGTGGACAGATGGATCCCCAGTTTCCTGGATGGTGCACTTGGGCACCAGTGGCAGGCTGGGTGGTGGTCCTGTTGTCAGACCTCTCTGATGGTGTGTGCATGTGGCAGTGGCAGTGCATGGGGCAGGTCAATCCCAAGGTCCTCAGATATTGCACACTGGCACTACTGACAATGGCAGCAGGCAGGTCAGGCCTGCCCAGTTTCCTCAATGCTGTGCACGAACACTGGTGTTGACAGGTGGAGTGGGTCAAGTCCTCATTTCTCAGACAACACATGTGGGCATTGGTGGCAGCAGTGGGTGGATGGGTCTGTCCTCAGGTCCCCTGGTGGTGTATTTGAGTGCCAGCTGTGGTGGGTAGGGCAAGTCACGTCTGAGGGCCCTGAATGGTATACTCAGGCAGATAGGCAGTGGTCCTCCTGCCCGTGGGGAAGGATGAGATTGTTGTCAGTGACGACAGCCTCAAGCAAGCAGCAAGTCTCAAGCTCTGGGAGCATGCTTATTGACTCTGTTTGTCCTGGGGGCAGCCTCCCTAGAGCACTGCACTGCTCATTCCTTCGAGTGTAGACCACTACATGGTCTACAGTGCCTGGAACCCAGCCACACTGCTGGGCCCAGCCAACATTATGACACTGCAGCCCTCTGAGTGGACATTGGAGGATTGCAGCCGGATTCCACGAAAGTGGGGAGCAGGACAGTATGCAGTCTTGTGGGAGATGAGTTATCAACATGGTGCTGTCTCAGGGGATGTATGGGATCCAGCATGAACTCCCTCTCTGAAATAATGTTATCACATGGAATCCACGAAGCTCCCTATACTAGTTTCAGGGTCCACGAAGGCCAAGAGGCTCTCCCATGACTAGGATTGCAGGAGCTCATGGTAGGAATATGAACCACTGAAGATCTCTTACTTATCTTTTTCCAGTACCGGGGAGTTTCTCTTAGCTCCAAGTCAATCCTGGTTGGATTGGCTGCTTCATTCCCCTCTCCCGTGCCTCAGAGGTTCCCTGTTGAATTCCAGTCTTCTCATTTAGATGCTCAACTTACCTTGTGATTATCACTCTCTGTTTTGGTCCTTCTTTGTGGAGAAGGCAAGTACCTCTAGTCAGCCATTTGGAAGCCCCTCTCTCAATGTATTCTGTCTGAAGCTTTAAGTAGAGATGTTGGAGAGGCATGAATGACTGGTTTGCCAAAAATAGAAGGCAGTGCTTAAAGGAATGTGAAAAAAAGCTGTCCTTTGCAGATTTTTGCTTCTGCTTGTAATTGGACTCACCTGTAGGCAGGTCTGATCATCTTAGAATAATTTAATGGTGTAGTTTACCCACTTCCTGTCTTCACTGTTATTCTCACTTATCTGTAAAATATTATTTAGAAAAATAAATTCAGGGTGTGGATAATGACAGGTGATAATCTGGTTCACTGAATTTCTAGGTTTTGATGAAATCCAGATGGCTAGAAAGGCAAAAATTAGCTTTGAGTTAATTGTTTCATTGCTGCCCTCCTTTGCTGAGTCAGAGTTTGAAGCAGAAAAGTGAAATTCAATACTTCCTTGACTAATGCATTTGTTATTAAATTTAAAACATATTAGCCCTTTCTGAGGTCATTCTGGCTCATTCTTCATGCCCCTCGATTGTCCCACGGCCAGAGTACCTGATGAATCAGTGATGCTCTTTGACCTGTATTTACGATTCCTTTCTAAGGCAAGGAAAACCGGAAATTATTTAGAACAATGAAAAACTGTCTCTTGGAAGAATATGATAACTTTTCCTAAGTTCAATTTTTAATGAAGGAGATAGGGAGGAATGGACATGTTGCCGCCCCCTCCTGTCCCACAACCAAGTAATTAATTCAAATTTGGCTTTTTTTGCGGCTATGGTATTTTTTTCTCTTTCTAGTTAGAGTCCATTGTTCATATTTGACTCTTTTATCTCTGCTTGATCTTTCTTTTATCAACCTTTGCTTGGTTTGAGTGAATTGGTTGGTCAGTCATCCATTGCCTCCAAGCCTCAGCGGCACACAGAAATACGCATTTGTTGTTTTTGCATCAAAGTCAGCTGCTCATCAAGGTCAGCTGAGGATTGCCCGACTGCTGGCTTATCTAGACTGGACTCATCTGGAGCAGATGAGGTGATTCAGCTGCCCATGCTCCTCCTGGTTCCAATCGGGTAGCCCAGAAATGCTCTCATCATGTCAAAAATGGAAGCACAACAAAGCAAGCAGAAACATACAAGGTCTCTTGAGGTTTGGGCTGTTAACTAGCACACCATCACTTGTCCCTCATTTATGGGCCGAAGAAAGCCACATGGGGCAGGGAAATATACTCTTCCTGTTTTGAGTGGACTCCGAAGTCATGACAAGAGACACGGGTGCAGGAAGGGAGAAGAAGGGAGCCTTTAATGCCATCATCTACCACAACTGTCTCAAAGAAACCTGCTAAGAGTTAAAAATAAATAAAATTTTCCTTTTTGTAATTTATCTTTTTTCAGAAAACCTGAACCTATGGCTCCCTTTGCAGTTTTTCAGACATTCCTCTCAATATTGATGTTCTTGAGGATTTATCAGAGTGAAGGTAAGAAGTGGAAAGAACAGTAAAGTCAAAAATCACACAGAGTACAAATGAAGTCATTAGTGCTTTAGGGAAACTTTACATAGTTCTTCTGCCTTTGGAAATTACTTGGAGTTAACAAACAGCTCCCATGAGGAGATTTGTCAGCCTCTCAAAGCAGTGGTTGACCTTCCTCATCTTGATGGCTCATTTTAATAAACCACCCTTTGACCCTGACTTCTTGGTCAATGCACTGGTCATTAGGGCAGTTGTGAGTAGACCTAATCCCATAAAACTTTGTGATTGGTAAATTTTACCAGGCCATGCAGAAGTATTTCCTTTTGAACCTTGTTTGGGAAAGATATGAGATAAACTAGACTAATGTTGACCCCTGGATTAGACTAAGTTTTTATGTCCCTCAACTATGTTCACTTTGTAAAATATAAGTGAAACCAATGAAAATATATGAATCAACAGAAACTCTGTCAAGTCTCTGCAGGACAAAATGCTAAGTGCTAAAATGCTGTTTATATATAAAGAAATCATATTTGTCACTTAGCTACTCCCCAGAAGAGTGTATTTTGAGATAATGCAACTTTGTAAATAAAGTCAATAAGAATTTAACACTTTAAAAATGTTTATGGATAGTTTGATTATTACTTTGAACTTGTTTAAAAATAGATCTAGCTGAGTGTGGTGGCTCACGCCTGTACTCCCAGCACTTTGGGAAGCTGAGGTGGAAGGATTGCCTGAGCTCAGGAGTTCAAGAACAGCCTGGGCAACATAGCAAGACCCCATCTCTACAAAATGATGCACACCTGTAGTTTTAGCTACTCAGGAGGCCAAGACAGAAGGAGTGCCTGAACCCAGGAGGTCAAGGCTGCAGTGAGCTGTGATTGTGCCATTGCCCTCTAGCCTGGGTGACAGAGTGAGACCCTGACTCAAAAAAAAAAAAAAAAAGAAAATTTTTAGATTTGAGTTTCATAAATTTTCATTGCTTTTACCCATTTTTTCAAAGCTGTACATTTTCCTCTTCCTGTGTTTATTCTGTTTTACTCCCTTTGTAAAGTGAAGGTGTATGCTTTCAGTAATTACCCACACAATTCTTGTCCATGGATTCATGAAAATGATGTTTTTAAGGAATATGCATTTAATTTCTCATGTCTTAAATCTCCATGAAAAGACATTTTTTATAAAGAAGGAGATATTATTCTAATAATAGCTCACTTCTCTGTCTGATATTTTTTAGGTCTGGGTTTAATTATTTCAGGTCCCAGGCTTAGGGAAAGATGCTGCTTCTTCTGGATTTTTAAAATCATAGTTTGATTGATTGTTGGTTTCTTCCATAATCTGGGGTTGAAAGGTGGGAATTAGGATTTCTTATTTGTGGTCAGTACATCTCCCAATCAATCTATCTTATGTGCTAAAGTTTGAACATAGTACAACTGGGCTGAGTGAGCAGCCTGTAAAATGAGAATGAGTCTGTCAGACCCACCACTACAGGCATCTGACTCCAAGCTTTCAGTCCATCTCATTTCCCTAATGAAGTCTCATAACCTGATCCAGCACTGTTTGCTGTGTGCCTTCTGTGTGTAAGGCCCTCTGTGCTCAGAGCAAGCTCTGCTGCTCACCCTTTAGCTTCATCATATCTGATCTAAATAAAGGAAGCTAAAGGGTGAGCAGCAGAGCTTGTACAGGCTGCCCACTCAGCCCAGTTGTACTATGCTCAAACTTTAGCAAGTAAGATAGATTGATTGGGAGATGTACTAACCACAAATAAGAAATCCTGTTTTTCTGATAACTAGTCTTCTGCCTTCTTTGGTGAATAATCCTGTCTTTGTTCTTAACTGTACTGTTTGGATTTCTTGTTTCAATTTCTGCAACATTAGACCAAGTTCTTACTAAACTTTCACTCAACCTAGTAGGCTTACCACTCGATCACCCAGCCAAGTTCAGATCTAAGATTCTATTTTAAATAACCTGGCATAATTTCTCCTGAACTAGAAGACATAGATAAGACTCTCTTCATTTAACTTTCAGAGCACATGTTTCCATTTTTATGTACATGCAGAGATAGACATATAAATACATAGTGCATTTTTAAATAAAGTTAAATTATTATACACACACACACTCAAGATTTCTTTGCTACTCAAAGCAATTAATACAGCATATCATGAGTGTTTTTCTTTAATATGAAATGTTCTAGAAACAACTTGATATTTAATTGCTGCGTCGTATCCTATCTTATGAAGGGACTATGGTTTATTTCCTCAAGTAGTGTTAGGGACCGTCAGGGAAGCAGATGGGGAGAGTGAGAGGAGAATCTGTGATTGAGTACAAGACTGCCTGATTCCTAAGCCCGGCCTTCTTGGCCACACACCAGCATTATACAATGAGAGCTGGACTGAGAGCCAGGAGCCCTGGGTTCTGATCTGGTTATATGGCTATGGCAAAGTCACTCCCTCCCGTTTTTAAACCTCAATTTCCTCATCTGAAAAATGATGACTTGACTTTGGTATTTTCCACGAGTTTTAAACCTCAATTTCCTCATCTGAAAAATGATGACTTGACTTTGGTATTTTCCACGAGTTCTCAAGGAAACTCTGGTTTGCTTTTGACTAGATTATTTCTGACTGATGTCACTTGAGCATCTGAGCCATTCAACACTCACTGATAACATATGTTGATATAAAGTGTTCTCCTTTTGTCTCAAGTAATATATGGTAGCTTTCTAGAGTTTCTGGAAATAAAGTTTAGACTGGTAGTTGACTCAGTCATCAAGCATGTTCTGAGTCTTGGTTCCAGAGCTAATACTTAGTCTCTTAGACTTTTACAGCATGCTGTGACCAGTGCTCCAAACAAAGACTTAGAAAAGCCATTGAGGAGCTATTCATTCTAAAGTATTACTTGAGTGGAGTGAGCCAGATATATTAAAGGAGTAATTCTTTTAAAATATAACTTATGTGATCCTGAAATGAATACAGAAAAATATAAAGAAGAAAATTAAAATCACTCAACCTTACCATCCAGAATTAATGACTAATAAAAACATAATAAAAATTAACATTTTAGTTTTACTTCCCTTAATAAGTTTTTTAAAATAACAGGAATAATAACAAATACTTTTTAAAACATAAAATGGGGCCATTACTTTCTTTAAGTTCTGGCCCTCTCTCCAGTTTTGGAGGGGTGGATTCACCCTCTCTCTCTAATCTACTTTTTAAGTAAACTATCTTTCTTAATCTAAAAACCAGTAAAAATAAATAAAACATAAAATGGGATATAGTGCAATATTTTGTTTGTTTGTTTGTTTGTTTTGACTCGGAGTCTCACTCTGTCATCCAGGCTGGAGTGCAGTGGCACACTGCTCACGGCCACTGCACCCTCGACCTGCTGGAGTCTGGTGATCCTTCCACCTCAGCCTTCCAAGTAGCTGGAACTACAGGCAAACACCACCACGTCTGGCTAATATTTTAATTTATTGTAGAGATGAGGTCTTGCCAAGTTGCCCAGGCTTGTCTTGAACCTCCACATCCTCATGAATTCTTGAACTTCGGCCTCCCAAAGTGCTGGGATTACAGGTTTGAGCCACTGCATGTGACCAATATATTTTTTTTAAGTGTATAGAAAAATTCAAGAAAAGCATATGGAGTATGGAAGGATTGCCTGAGCCCAGCAGGTCGACACTGGGGTGGCCATGAGCATGCCACTGTACTTCAGCCTGGGCAACAGAGTGAGACCCCCACAATCAAAAAAACAAAAATAAAAAAAGGCATATGGAGTGAAAGTAGAGTTGGTAGGATTATGAGAACCCAGTTTCTATGTTATTTGAACATTTTTTTATCAGGTTATTAAAAAATTTTTATTGAGGTGAAATTTACATAACATAAATTAATCATGTTATGGTTAAAATGAGCAAATCAATAACATTTAGTACATTCACAATGCTGTGCACCCACCACCTTCATCTACTTCTAAAACACTTTCACCACCTCAAAACTAGACCCCTAATGCAGCTACTCTAGAATTCCTTCTCCTCCAGCCCCTGGGAACCACCAATCTGCTTTCTGTCTCTATGGACTGATATATTCTGGATATTTCATACAAATGGAATTATATAATACATAACCTTTTGTATCTGACATCTTTTACTTAGCATAATGTTTTTGGTGTTCATCCCATTTTTAGCATGTATCAATATTCCATTCCTTATGGCTGAGTAATATTCCTTCTGGATAATAGAACTTTGTCAGTTAAAGGATTTGCAAATATTTTTCTCCCATTCTGGAAGTTGTCATTTCACTTTTTTGATAATGTACTGTGATGCATAAAAGTTTTTAATTTTGATGAAGTTCAATTTATATTTTTTTTCTTTTGTTGCTTGTACTTTTGGTGCCATACTTAAGGGCCCACTGTCAAATTCAAGGTCATGGAATCTACATAGAGATTTTAGTTATTACCCTAGCCCTCCTAGTATCACATTCACAAAATGTCACAAGGGATAGGTAACTTTCTAGAAAGGTAGCTATTGATGGTTGATGTCTTTCATTTTATGATTATTGTTGTTAATTTCGCTTCCATAGAATGAATTTTTTTAGATTTTCTTCCAGATTCTGAGATTAATGCCTTATTTGGATCTGAAGCTTTCTACCGTGTGGACCAATCACATGAAGAATCTTATTCTTGTCTTGTACCCACCAGGGATACTCCTCAGCTTACCTGGCTCTATCCAGAGCCTTGTTCTATCATTTGTGTCCTTGAGCTTGGCAGGACATTGTTGGAGCCAGGCAGCTTACTCTCATTCCATTCCATGGGGCTTTTGATTGGGCCAATGCTCTTGTCTTAACAGTTAGAGGACAGCACAGTAAAGGGGAGCACAGATTTTGGTATTCGAGAGGTCCTTACTTATATCCTTCACAGCTTTGTGTAAGTTGTTTACTACCTCATTCCACTTCAGTTTTCTTTACTATAAAAAATTTCTGGCCAGGCATGGTGGCTCATGCCTAATCCCAACACTTTGGGAGGCTGAAGTGGGAGAATTGCTTGAGCCCAGGAATTTGAGACAATACTCATCAACATAGTGAGACTCCATCTGTACAAAAAAATCAAAGAATTAGCTGGCTTGGTGGTGTGTGCCTAAAGTCCCAGCTACTCAGGAGGCTGAGGCAGAAGGATCTCCTGAGCTCAGGAGGTTGAGGCTGTGGTGAGCCGTGATCATGTCACTGCACTCCAGCCTGGGTGACAGAGTGAGACGCTGACTCAAAAAAAAATCTATGTTACAGTTTTATAGTAAGCATTGCATGAGACAACATAAGTAAAGCCCCAGCACTGTACTTGGTAAACAGTATTACTGTTACTATTTTTACTTTCATGAGAAAAATAACGTGCATAATGGCAATTTGGAGAAAATTTTGCTCCCATTTTTGTTGTCAAAAAAAAAAAAAAATACTCTCTTGCCATAGATTTAGTGCCAGAGGGTTTCAGATGATTAGGGGAAATCCCCATGGAAGTAAAAATATGGGTGCTTAGAAGATAATATCTATTATACCATGGGCCATCAGATAACAGCTGGCATTATCAATGCAATCTTTATCTTTTCAATAGCTTGTAGCACTCTTGGTTTACTTCAGACCTCCTCAATCCAACAACTGAAATAGTTGAATCAGCAATGCACAATTCATTTTCAATTTATATGGTGCTTTCCTCCTCCTAAGTGGAAAGTCATGATTTGTTCTTTTCTAAAAATCAGCAATTACTTAACTCGGCCACGGCCCATCCTGTCTCTTGTGGCAGATGTGTCTGCTTGAACCTCTGTGTGCAGGTCATCGGCAGCGGCGCTAGTGATGGTCTAGACAGTCAGCCTAAGAGATACCAGATACAAGACTGCTTCCTAAGGCCACTAACCCCAGCAAATCTGTTTCCTGTTTGAATTCCTATTCTTTTATAGACTCCATCACACCACTAACTACTCTAAACTTGCAATCTCTAATTATTCCATATGAGTTAATCATGTCTCTCCAACTAGGTTCCTTCTTTGAGCTAGGAGCAATTATTTTGTTTCACACTAAATGCCTAGTATGTTGCTGGACTCATTCAAAGTGTTCGGTAAGTTCTTGCTAGAGGTGTTTCAAGTTCACTATACTGAGATACAAATGATCATGTCTAAAGATAGCATATCTCACTTTGTAGTTTTTAAAATACACTATGAAATATTGACTTTCAAAAAGGAAACTTTCATTTTTTTAAAGCAAGGTAGAGGTTTACTCTTGTGCAATATTTAAAAGTAAATTAGAGAGAAATAGAGAGAAAGAAAGAGGAGATTTACCTCCCCAAGGCAAGGAAGGGGGCCAAAGTCAGGAAGCATGGCAATAGCCATAGCTTAAAGAGCACTTGGTCACATCAGACTCTAGCAAGGCAATGGCTGGAAACTTTCTTTTTTTAAAATTCTAGAAATATGAAAAGCTAAGCATAATGACATTTAACAGTTTAAATATCTATTAAATGTTATTTCATACCACATTTTGGTCTTTACAGCTTTGGCTAAACCCTTACCATTGACTCCTGAATCACTTAAAGTTTCTGCCAATTCTACACATCAATGTTTGCATTTGCAATGGACTGTCCGCAACATTCCTTATCATCAGGAATTAAAAATGGTATTTCAGATACAGATCAGTAGAATTAAAACATCCAATGTCATCCGGGTGGTAAGTATTATTTTTTTTTGGCTTAGTATTGTAAAAACTTTTTCTGATGCCGTGATTTGTCCTTTATAACATCTCAAACAAATCTCATTATGGAAACACGTTGGCCATTCAAAACAGTTTTTCTAAACAATTACATTTCTGTGTTTTCAGTTAAGAGGATTCAGGATAAAGTAATATGACAACTGTGATTTGGTAGGTAAAATGGGATATATTAAGACTATATACTATTTTCTCTGTTCTGCTCTGTCCTTTGAGAGGGCTATTCATCCTTGTGAGCACTGAATTCCAAAGACCCATGCAGATCAACTATTTCATTCCTCTTACTTCTTTCTTCTCTGTCCATCAGATGTTCTCCCAAATAAGGTGTATTAGTTTGGTGACATTTTTCTGCCATTGTGGCTTCCCGTCAGTTTCTTTGCTTATACCATGCTGAAATGCAAAAGTACTAGTGTTTCACATTGTAGTTAGTTGAGGTTCTCCAGGGGCCACATTGGAGAGCAACTTACTGTGTCCTTTTTTGTCTCATATGTGACTTTTTCTACAACAAATTAAATTAAGAAAATCCTTAAATTCATGTTATTTTTGTCTTTGTATTATTTGAGGGTAGATTTTTTCACTTGTATTGGCTCAAATGATGGTTGTGTTTGTGCTGCCCAATGCTTCCCCACCTAGTGCATTGGGATATACTGGTGGCTCCTTTGATGATCATTGCTCATCTGATAGCCCTAATATTCTATAAATGCATAGTGTTCTGGTATTATTATCATGGGGTATTTAAGGATAGTGGCATGTTTTCTCATGGAAGGGACCTGAGGATTGGCCTAGAGGTGAGGGAGCACAGGACTGTACTCAGGCTCTCTATGAGCTCTGGTGGGTCCACTCTTCTCTCAGGTGGTGGGTGCAGGGATCCAGGATGATTAGGTCCTTTAGTAAAGAGTGAGGGCCTCTGTTCTTAAAGACTTCAGTAACTTTCCACATCCATTATAGCATTTGAGATCTGAGCAATGAAAGTTTGGCTCATTTAGGATTCATACTGAGTCTGTAATTCCATCCCTCAAAGGACAGTTTTCCACATTGAGAATTGTTTAGCGTGCTGATTTTCAACCATAGGGATGTTTGTGTGTCACTGCTTACTTCCCACCATTAGCACAACTTCCTAGCAAGTCTGATTTTTGTATTTTTACTGGATACACTCATTGATGATTTGGGATCAGTAAAAGCATTTGAGCAAAGGTTATGTTGAGGCTAAGAACTAACCAAGAAAAAGAAATTGGGGGTGGCGGGAATGCTGGAAGAATTGTAGAAGTAGTAGTTAATGCCATTAACAAAAATAACATTTACCATAGACCAAGTGGATCCCATTCTATATTTTTTCTGAAAGATATTTTTTATCTGTCTTTCGGAAAAATATAAAATGGCATCGACTTGGTCTACGGAGAAAGTATCGTTGGCCAGGTATGGTGACTCAAACCTGTAACCCCAGCACTTTGGGAAGCAGAGATGAGAGGATTGCCTGAGCCCAGAGGTTCAAGACCAGCCTGGGCAACTTGGTGAGACCTCGTCTCTACAATAAATCAAAAAATTAGCTGGGCATGGTGGCGCATGACTGTCGTTCCAGCTACTTGGAAGGCTAAGGTGGAAGGATCACCTGAGCCCTGCTGTGATGGGTAGCTCCAACTCAAAAGGAGAGAAAAAGAAAAGAAAGTAACAATAGCCATAGACCAAGTGGATCCTATTCTGTATTTTTCTAAAAGATAGTTCATACATGTTATTATATGAGAGAAAATAATGCTAGCCATAGTCTAAGTGGATCTTATCCTATATTTTTTGAAAAGCAGTTCATATCTGTTTTCATATTCATGCAATCATCTTCTTTGCAAGGAAAAGTGGCTTGTGAGGCTTGCTTCTGTAACTTACTCGAGATCCATAGGGTAGAGTTTTGTCTTGTCTATTGTATTATGTTCACAACGCCCAACCCAGCATGACTACAATAGAGAAGAAAGCACAGAGAGTCTTGCTGTGCTACTCCAAGTGACAGAGGAAGGGCAGTGTCATCCTTCACCTCCATGCCCAGACAGGGGTGACAGTCATATGGAGGGTCAGTAGACACATGCCCCACAATGCTGCTGATGCTGTGAGAGGCCTTTGTCTGTATCTCTCATGTCTGAAGTTGAAGAGTGACATAAAATTCTCCTCCAGTTGAGGAGGAGGATGCCACTTCTGTCTGGACAAAAATCTCCCTTTCACGGAGCAACATCCTAGAACGCAAGGCTGACAGGGCACCCTCACTCGTACAGAGTGGGCAACTTCTAGACTCAGTGTCTCAGAACCCAAACAAGCTGAAGGACAATCACCTTGGTTAGGTGCTTGCAGCTGGACCAGGGGCAGCAAGCCATCTCCTGGATGGCACTGACCACTCAGAACACTGCTGGCAGCCGAAATACACAGTCCTGCCCTGGGTCAATGTTCTGCTTTTCCCTTCCAGCCATTTGCTTTATGATTTTGTCAATAACAGGGGAAGGCAGAGACGAGTAACAGCTCAAGCCTGGAAGGAGCCCGGGAGCAGGAATCAATTTAGGGATAGAACCCACACCTTAGTAAAAAATCAGGAACGTCAGGTAGACTTTTGTGTAAATGTATGTGTCAATTTCTTGTGACTTACTGATGGCTACAAGGGTCAAATTAAACTCGCTTCAGTGAATGAAAATAACATTCAGTGAGCGAAAATGAAGGACAATTCATCACATTTAAAGAAAAAAAAATCACTGAATTGATGTAGTCATGGTAAGTTTTATCTCCTTCATTGCCAAGGCTATAACGACTACAAAGCCAAGTTGGAGTTAGATGGAATCTACACAAATAGTGTTGGGGGAAATAGTGCCCATCACATATTAATAAAGTAATTAAGCCGGGCTCAGTGGCTCAGCCTGTAATCCCGCGCCTTTGGGAGGCTGAGGTGAGTGGATTGCCTGAGCCTGCGGGTTTGAGACCCGCCTGGGCAGCGAGACCTCATCTCTACAATAAATCAAAAAACCAGCCGGGCGTGGTAGCGCATGCCTGTAATTCCAGCTACTTGGAAGGCTGAGGCGGAAGGATCGCCGGAGCCCAGCAGGTCGAGGCTGCGGTGGCCAGGAGCGGCCACTGCACTCCAGTCTGGGTAACCGAGTGAGACTCCAACTCAAAAACAAACAAACAAACAAACAAACAAATACAGTGCTTAAATCATTCAACTCAGAGTTTAGATTATGGGCCCAGGTCAGGCATTGTGCCAGGCACGGGGGTATCAGTGCTGAGCCTGCTGGCAAGAGTGAGGAGAGAAACTTACCAGCAGAGGATTCTAAATATGGATGTGTGCTCAGGTCACTGCCGAGGTGCTGTGGGGTTGGGGTTGAGGTTAAGCATGACCTTCTCCCACAACAGTACAAAGGGCTGCTTGAGACAAAATATCAAGAGGATTGAAGTTAGTTTAGCAAAGAGGGTGGAAAAAGCGCTCTGGGCAGGTGCAAAAGGTGTGAGCTGAGGCCCTGAGGTAAGGGTCTGGGGTGCTTCCAGGACTGAACAGCATACTGCTGTGCTAGAGCCCCAAGCACATGGGGACAGGGGCATGGGCCAGGCCACACAGGTCCATGGGGAACGAGCTCAGGCTTTGGTTTTTAATCTTGAGAGCATTAAGAACATGGGAAGTGGCAAGATCTGATTTGAAGTTTTTAACAAGTTCACTCCATGGGGGAACTGGGGAAGGTAAGGGGTGGCCAGTGAGAAGCCAGCTGTGGGACTGGGCCAGGGCAGAGATGGGGGTGAAAGAAGTGGCTGCGTTTGAGGAAGATGTGGGAGGTTAAATTCAGTCTGTGACTTGTAGACATTATAGGGAAGTCACCATTATAGATATAGTTCCTTCTGTGTGTCAGAGGGGATGTTTGCTTTAAATTTAAAAAAAAATTCATGCAAAATATACTTGAGATTGTTCATGTTAAATAGTGAAAGTTTCATGGATCAGAGGATCACTGGGAGGCCCAGACTTCACCTGTACGATTACTACTTAACGTGTGTAATCCTGAATTGTACCCTACGTCTTTAAAACAAAATTTAAAGAAACTAAAATATACTTAAAAGAAAAAAGATTGTTTTGTGATCTAGAAATAAAATAATGTGGTAAACTGAAATAAAATGTAAATATTTTAAAAAGCACAATTCTGCATAGAGTGAAAAAGGAGGTGCACCGTTAAATGCTGCCTGGGTAGACTAGGGTGTTCTCATGCCAAGACTGTGTTTAGTTCTGCCAGGGGCACTGTTTCAATTTAGCGATTTGGACAGGGAATAGACATAAATGGAAGGCCTCCAAGTTGCTAACTCCAAGCAGTGTGTGACATGTGAGTTATCCCATCCCTTCACTGAGGACTTATCGTTTGCCCTTAGAATCATGGATGCATAATACTCATTCAGTTTCCCGCAGGGAGTGCAAGGTACTTGTTGTCTCCACTTTGCAGCTGTGGGCAGGGGGGGATCAGTAGTCCAGGAGGAGGCACACTGAGGAGAAAGTGTGCCAGGAGCTTTGGGGGACACCGAGAAAAAAAGCACAGACCCTGCTTCCTGGGGCCATGCTCTAGTCACAGATGACATACCAACTACTAGCCACAGGAGTGCTACAGGGGAGGTTGAGATGGGAGGAATTCAGAGGAAAGAACAAGAAAAACTTTCTGAAGGAGATGAAGTATGACCTGGGCTTGAAGAATGGGACAAATCCCACTGCTGAGGGGGTAGGGGACAACAACCCAGGGACACCCCATGAGCAAACACTGAGGCATAAGAGCATAAAGCATATTCCAAAAGTGTAGGGTAGGCCCTATGTATGCTAGTTTCCTGCAAGGGACTGGTAGGTTGGAGCAAGATTATAGAGGGTCTTACATGGCAAGGTAAGATGTAAAGGAGCCGTTGAAGCCTATGGAATTTGAGAATGGGATTGCCAGCATCTCAGAAAGATTAAGGCAAAGGGCTGTGCCAAAAGACCAAGCTGCAGTTCAACTTGGGCAAGCTTCCCACAGAATAGTGTAAAATGTTCTATATGATTGACATCTTCAAAGCTTAGGATTCTAACAGATGGAGCTCGAAGGAGGGGATGTGGTTCATGTGGCCACCAGACATGAAACAAGAGACAGAAAAACAAGGAAGACATGGACAGCCATCTCTTGACTTCTGGGAGATAGTGGAACTCCCAGGGTGCCATGAAGGACTGCCCTCTCTACTGAGATTTGGCCAACCTGATCCAAATCTGGATAAAAATCTGGATATACACTTTTAAATCCATCTTTTTTTTAAAAAATTACTCAATTCTCTAGTTTTCAAGAATTTCTTAGCAGATTCTCTGTGACCAGCACTGTGAACACCTTCTGTCTGATCTGTTCCCCCAAGACTTTGAGTAGTTTCTGTTTTCTCTCCTATTTGCTCCACATGAGGCCCCTGGAATTAGAGGGTATGTGAGGCCCCTGGAATTAGAGGCCACAAGGATGGGGAGCTAAGTTTTCAAAAGGCAAAGGGTACTGGCTGGCTCATTGCTGAGACACCAGAGCAAGGGGAATTGACTAGATAGAAGTGGACTGCATTTGAACATGCTGTGAACTTACAAGGGGGTCTTAGGTTGTGCTTTGGGATAGGTCAAGTCAAGCTATTTTCCATGAAAGGATGACTATCTGTTTCCAAATGTTTCCCTTTGTTTTTAGGAGAATTATAACACCACTGTGAAGTGGAAGCAGGTTCTGCATTGGAGCTGGGAATCTGATCTCCCTTTGGAGTGTGCGACACACTTTGTAAGGATGAAGAGTCTAGTGGACGATGCCAACTTTTCTGAGCTGAATTTCTGGAGCAACTGGAGCTCATGGAAGGAAGTCAATGGTAAGAAGCAAGGTGGTTACAAGAGTGAAAAGATTTAATATCTTATATTATCAGGGATCAATAGTCAAATAGTGGAAATCCCTTTAGAGAAGTCCTAAGTACACAACAACATTATTTTCCTTTAGCTGCTATAGGAACTAAGAGCACAAGTATGAAATTTGGCACCAGAGAAAGATGTCTAAAGTTTTGCTTCTGGACTTACTCATTGAGCCAAGTGTACAAATTCAGACAATTTTGTATTTGTTTTCCAAGTGTGTAAAATATGTGTATTATAGAATGCTAAGCGAACAAAGCAGGATATATATTGCACATATGTTTTTATTAGAGCAACACAAAATGTATATGCATCTAGAGTGGAGGTTGGGAACTTTCTCTGTTAAAGGCCAGATAGGAAATATTTTAGACTTTCAGACCATATAGTCCCTGTTGTGACTATTCAACTCTGCCACTATAGTGTGAAAGTAGCCATAGATAGTGTGTAAATGAATGAGAGTGCTGTGCTGTTGAAACTTTATTTACAAAAACAGATGGTTGTGTTTTGGGATAGCACGTTGACCCAATTCTAATCTAGAAAAAAGGGGAAATATGGAAAAAATGATGAGATTGCAGATAAATATCTTTTAAATATCCCTTAATATTGATTATTTAATTTTATTGTTATTAAAATTTAGAGTGGGTTTGTCATAGTTTCTTATGTTCCAGTTAAGCTAATAATAATAATGAAATAATAATAGAATTAAAGCTACATTCTAGTCACTGATTTAAGCACTACCTATTAACTTAGTTCTCATATCTGTGGAATATGCATTATTCTTATCACTACTTCATAGATGAGGAAACTGAGGTACTGAGAGGTTAAAGAACCCATGCAAGGTCATCAAGACATAAGTGGTAAAGTGAGAATTCCAACCTGAGCATTCTGACTCTAGAGGCCTTGTGCTTAACCATTACATCCTGCTACTGAAAACAGGGACACGTGTACAGAAAAAAATAGGTATTAAAAAGATAGAGAGAAAGAAAGAACTACATTATAAACAAATTTGATAAAATATGCTAGGATTCTCTAAACTGTAATCTCAAAACTAATTTAAGAATAAATGGAAAACCTGAATATTCCCAATCCCAAAGCACTGACTGTCAACCAGTTACACGGTAGAATCATCTCATGACCTTTAAAACAAAACCCATGTCCAGGCCACACCACATGGATGACTGCAGTTTTAGTGCCCAATGGGTCAGCAGCCAGACTTCAGCTAACTGAAGGCGTAGGAAATCCTGAGCAGCATGTACAACAACTTCTTCAGGGAGGCTGACTGTGCAGGAGAGGTTAGAGAGGGTGCCAGGAGGGAGGCATGGGAAGCCAGTGAGTTTCCTTAAAGGGAGAGTCCTTTGGATTTTAATATTTCAATGAATCCTGAAGAAGGAGAGACAGAAGCAAAAGAAGATGATACAAGGGTATTTCAAAAAGTTCATGGAAAAATGGAATTAAAATATAACAATAGAAACTTTTTTTTTTTCAACATAAGCTCCATCAAGTTTAAGACACTTTGGCTCAGTCCTACCTGTCCCATCATGGTAAGGTAGTAAGGAGGACATGAGATGAATGTATATACAAAATTAGCACAGTACCTCCCATATATCTAGAACTCCATGGAGAACAGCCACTGCTGTTATAATAAGCTAACAATAGCAATCACAGAATAATCAGCAGTGGTAATAGTAAGGCTCTATCCTTGGCAGTAACAGCTATAACAGTGTTATCAATAGGAGCAATGATGGAAAGGAGTGTTTTGTATGAACCAAAGGGTAGAAGTTTGATGGAGAATACTAGGTTGCTATTTTCTTTAGGAGGTAGAAAAACTTAAAATTATCTCCTGAAAGTGAGGTGGGAGGGGGCTGAGTTTAATTTTGGGTGAGATTCTAACTCAGTTGTCCTTTTTTTTCCTTGCAGTACAAGAGTCTCTTGAACAGGACACACTGCTCATGTTCCCTAAAGATAAGCTGGTAGAAGAAGGCTCCAATGTCACCATTTGTTATATTTCTAGGAACACGCAAAATAACATATCTTGTCGTTTGGAAGAGAATCAGATTCATGGAGAACAGCTTGATCCACATGTATTTGCATTCAACTTGAATAATGTTTCTTTCATTAGGAAACATGGGACAACCATCTTTTGTGAGGGGCCCCCAAAACAGAAGAAGGGCATCGTTCTCTTTGTCTCAAGTAAGTACTCAAATTCTCCGTGGCTCTTTCTTTTTATTTCCTGAGGAATAGATTGAATCTCCTTTGTTAGAAGGCAAGTAAATACTTCTACTCATGGTCTTGATTTTCTTTTGTTTCCCAAGTCTTCTAGAAGAGACTCTGAAAGTGATATTCTAAAGTAATATCTCCAGGATTTCCTGTTATTTTCTTGTCCTTACTGAAAGTTATATTCCTAGAAATCAATGGAATCAAAGGAGAGAAAGTTCAGGTCATGACCTGGACCACTGAGAAAATATCCTGCTTTGTCTCAGCCATGCTAGAATTACCACGGGGTCATGAGAGAGGAGAGAGGCTACAGGTCAGACAATCACAGAATGTTAACCAGGATAGTGGCCTGGAAGACCTGGGTTTGAATCTTCTTTCTCTGGCTGGGTGTGTCATCTTGGCCAAGTTTCCCAAACTTTCTGAGTCAGTTTCCTCTTCTGTGAAATGAAAGATGGTGCTGGTGATTGTAAGGATTGATGCACATGAGCAGTGCCTGTCTCTGATACAATAGCTGTGAACAGTAGATCAGCAAATGGAGGCCATTACTGTTCTGAACTGCGTAGCAAATTAGCTTATCAGATACATAGTGGAATGGGAACATTTTAAGTTTTATGTACGTCTGTTTGTGCCCACCCTGTGGTCTCCTGTGTTTTGTTTTGAGATTCTCATCCCCCTGCACAGTAGGGCAATACCTGTGATGTCTTCCCTCCCTGCTTCTTCTGCCAAAGGAAGTGTCCAGTCTCTGAGATGCTTGGTTCCCACTGAGGGCGGCAGTCACTCCAGAGACTTAGAGATGCTTTGCTATTCCTTGGAATACTCAGCTCTTGGCTGTTGAGTTTAGTAGGTTCACAAAATCTGACTATCTTTCTCAAGCCCCCCAAACTTTCTGTAAGCCACAGCACCTGAAATGAAATAATGGCAGGCCCGGGGAATACAACCTTTGTCAAATGGACAGGGTGTCAACCACTTGTACAACACTGACCACACATCCTTGTGATATCTCAGAAAATCACAAGGGAAGGAAAGAGAGGGGACCATGGTGATGAGGCACTTGAAAGGTGACTTTAGGGTGCTGTTGCTGTGTAGGCTTCCACCTCAGCAATCCCTTTGGAATAACTCTGTGGCTTCAGACCCCAACAGAGCTTCTTATTTGGAATGCCTTTCAATAAAGGGATTTAACTATGTCTTTTGTCTGTTTTCTCTTGTATGGACAGAAGTACTTGATGAGCCCAAGGACTTTTCTTGTGAAACCCGGGACTTCAAGATTTTGAGCTGTACTTGGGATCCTGGGATGGATACTGCCTTAGGTTTTTCTAAGCAACCTTCCCAAAGCTACACCTTATTTGAATCGTAAGTTAGCTCTGGGTTATTGACAGATTTGTCTTTGCTTAAGGTGCTTGTTACAACATAGCAAAATCTACACTTAGATGTTGCAGAACATTGGAACAAATATCTCAAAGCCACCTAGCAAGATCAAATCGGAAGATTAAAGCGGAAATCTTTAAGCAGTCACAAGTCACGAAATTTTTGTTCTTGAGTACCAAGTTCATATGAGCAAAGTTTTTGTTCTTGAGTACCAAGTTCATATGAGCAAGTTCATATGAGAATGCTTTCTACTTGGAATCTTTTTAAAGGAATGTTTGACATAAAATTATAAGAAAGATAGTTAATGGAATTCCTTGTTGTAAAAATAGTCCTGCGTGTTAATATGGGTCTAACTAATTTATGACTTTTTAAAGAATATTCAAAGTAAATTAAAGGATGACCACCCACAAGGAGGAGTCAGAAATTCATTGTTAATGAATTTAACCACATATATCAATTTCTTTGAAACAATATTTGATTATGGGTATTTGTTGGTGATAGATCAATGCTATTGTGTGAAATATAGTTTGAAAGTCACTGAGTATACCCGGAGAAATAAGGGATGTATCCGCTTTGACAAAAGTGTAAGCCCTATAATTGTTGTTTTATTTTTTAAAGATTTTCTGGGGAAAAAAAACTTTGTACACACAAAAACCGATGTGATTGGCAAATAACTCAAGACTCTCAAGAATTCTATAACTTCACACTCACAGCTGCTAATTACTTAAGGAAGAGAAGTGTCAATATTCTTTTTGACCTGACTCATCGAGGTGAGACTGGAGTTGTTGCAGCCCACATTGGCCACTAACATGTCTTTGTTTGGCAGGCTGTGTGATGGAGTACTGTAAATGTGTTGTGATCTTTGCCTATTTCACAGCCTAGGTGAAAGTTAGAATTTATACCAATTGTTCATGCCACACTTCTCATGGATGCATGCATCCCCCATTATTTGTCTGTTCTGATAATGTCATAATCACCAATGAGTTTTGTACCCACCTTCAAAACTAGGACTCAACAATAGCTTATTTGATATCTCATTCTATAACCCCTATCCTGCTCATTCTGCTGAGATAATTATCATGTTAAATTGTGTGTGTGCATTCCCATTTCTTATGTAATCCTAATAATGTTTTTTATTTTATTTGGTTTTAATGTATATAAAGGATATCAAGCTATGTGTAATAATTTTTATATAATATTAAATTTCCAAGATTTGCCCATATTGTAGAGTGTTACTGTAGTCTATTCATTTTTACTGCTGCACAGTATTTTGCTGTGTAGATATTCAGTGTTTTATTTATACGTCACTTTTGATGAATTTGCATGTTGTATCAAAGTTTTTGTTCTTGAGTACCAAGTTCATATGAGCATTTTTATATGTGCCCAGTATACATCTACAATTGTTTTTCTTGAGTATACACCTAAGAGTGGGATAGGTAGGGCATAAAATGTGTGAAGAATGTTCAACTTATGAGATAAGGTCAAATTATTTTTCAAAGTAGTTATATCAATTATATTCCCACCTCATGGATTCACATATTCTCTCCAACTTGGCATTGGCACATTTTTCATTTTTGGCAATTAAATAGCTGTAAAATGGTATTTCATGATGATCTTGATCTATACATCCTTGGCTTTGAATTGCATTCTATGCTATGACCACATATGTATTGTTTTTTATGAAAAGCTTGTTCATGCTATTTGCCCATTTTCCTATGCATTGCTTATGTCTTTTGTTTTGGTAAGAATATTTAAGTATTCTTGATACTAATTCTTTGTTGTTGATTTCTATACTGCTAATATCTTCTCCCAATTAGTTATTCACTTACTTTTCTATGTCTATAAAACAAAAGTTCTCAATTTTAATATAGACAATTATATCAAAATATTTTAAAGAAGTTATTTCTTGGTTTTTTGTTTTTTGTTTTTTTGGTTTATTTAGAAATTTGAAAGAAAGAGAGAAGAGATTCAACACCCCAAGGTAGGGGAGAAGGCCAAAGCTAGGAAAACATTGCAACCATAGCTCAAAGAGTCATGTGGCTAGACCAAAGTTTAGTAAAGCAGTAGGCTAAAGAAGTTATTTTCTATCCCAAGATCAGAAGGATAGTTACCTACAATTTTTTACTAAGAATTTTAAGTCTTTTAAAAAGACAATTAAATCTTAGATCCATCTGGGATTTTTTTTTAATATTGAGGTAGGGATATAACTGAATTTTTCAGATTGTGAGGTAGGAATATATTGAATTTTTCAGATTGCTAACCATTTTTCCATTTCATTGACTAGCTCTTGTTTCTCTAATGATTTGGTGTGCCATCTCTTTACTATTATGGAAGTGTAATGGAGTTCTAAGCTCAATTCCACTGTTCAGTTTGTTTATTCCTCTACTAGTATCACACTAACTTAATTAACTAAAGTTACAAGTGAGTTTTGATATTAGGTAGGATAAGTCTCCCTGCCTGTTCTTTTTCAGACATGTTCTCACTATTCTTGGTGCTATACTCTTCTATGTATATCTGGTGATTTATCAAATTCTATGAAAACCCTTGCTGGGATTTTCATTGGATTTGTCTTTAATCTATAAATGCAACTTGGAGAGATCAACATCTTTATGTTACTAAATCTTCCTATGCATGGACATATTACTATATTTTAAAATTTATGTAGGACTTTGTTAATGTCTTTTCATAAAGCTTTTACATTTTCTCACATACACTTCTTGTGTGTTTTTTGTACTACATCCACTAAATAAGTTTTTGAAATGTTTTTATGTTTTAAATGTTTTTAGCATATAATCTCCACTTTTTCTATTCTTCCATTTTGAATTTTTTTTAAATTTGGAACTCTTTTCCTATTTAAAAATAGTTGGACTATATCTTCATTATTAAAGCACATAGATATTATGTATTATATCTTCTTCCTTTTAAATCTTGCTGAATCTTGCCGATCTACAAGTAACTATATATGTTTGATGTTCACTATTAGTTTGTCTGTAAATGCTTCTCTGGTCATTTTGGTTATCTTAAATTCTTTCTCTAGTACATTTATCAGAAAGTGCTTATGGCAACAGTTGCCTGAATTTCTGAATGACAAAAAATTTTATTCTTGTCTTTGTATTTAAAGGTCAGTTTGAATGGATATAAAATGCTTTTGCTTTCATCTTCTTCCTTGAGTATCATAAACTCCATTGTTGCATTTTTTTCTGGCATAAAGCAAGACTGATGAAAAGTCTAATGGTACTAGAATCTATTTTTTTTTCATATGATCTTTTTGCCTAGCTACTCAAAGAATTTTTTTTAATTAAATAATTTTATTATACTTTGTCTTGGTGTTGGCTATTCTAGGTTTATAATTTCAGTAACATAGTATATTCTTTCAATATGTAGTTTTAAATATTTTTTAATTCCAAGAAAATTTTCTGAATTACAGTTTTTAGTAGTTTTTTGGTTCTCTTCCTTTGGTTTTCATCGTCAGAAGCTCCTGTTATCCATATATTGGCCATTCTTTCTGATCTTTAATATTTGTCACTTTCTCTTGAATTCTTTTTATTTATTTTAGATTTAAAATATTTTTTCTTTTTACTTTCTATTTGCTTAAGGAACTACCTGTTGTGTTGATTTGCTTCTGATAATTCCTCCTAGTTTAGTCTTCATTTTTGAATTTATTTTATATATATTTCTTTCCTGAGTTCTAATAACTCTTTTATGATTTTTTTCTAAACCTGATTTGTGTTGTTTTTTATTATCTTGTATCACTTCTTTAATGTCTTTTAGTCTATTTTGAAATCATTATTTTAACATTAGTTCTGCTTTGCCTGTGGTTATAACTTCCTTTCCATTCAGAATATTATTTACATGTGCTTCTTGTTATTCAATCAATCTTATGAGAAGTGTAACTATTTTGATTTTTTTCTTTTTCAAAAAAACAGTTTTTGCTCCTAAAAATATTTTTTTTAATCAATATTTTTTATTTTGATATTGTGGGGTACAGTTCAGGGTTAGGTATACAAATATGCTTCATTCAGGCCCCCTTGTTGATAACAGGTGTCTCCCCATCCCCAGACAGATGTTTACTACCATTAGTCCTATTCCCCCCCCATGGTTTCCCACCACTGTCAGTCATTTTCTTATGGTAGTGCGTTGGATGATCAAGGTCCACTATATGAGTGAGAATATGTGATACTCAGATCTTTGTTTCTGTGAGAGGTCACTCAGTATTACAGACTCTAGCTCCATCCAAGTTGCTGCGAAATTCATGATTTTGTTCTTTTTTATGGCTGCATAGTATTCCATCATATATAGTACCACATTTTTTTTTTTTAATCTGCCTGTCAGCTCTCTGCCTGTCACTCAGTTCCAGTCTGTGGATGGCAGCACTGCCTGGCCAGAGCTGGATACGTCCAAATTCTGCCTCCTCACTGTCACCTTCCTCTCCCTTCTTCTGGAGCTGTGGTCACAGCCTGGATTAGAGCCAGGGCTAGTGATCTCCAAGTTAGCTTGGGACAGTAAACAGGGTCCAGGACTGAAGAGAAAAATCAGCCAGACACTAGCCATTCTGACAGCAAAACCAGTTGGTGAAAATCAAGAAGTCAGAAGCAACTGGAAGCAGGAATCCAAGCAAGTGTCAAAACCAAGGAGAAGGCTGGACTCAGTGGCTCAGCCTGTAATCCCAACACTTTTCAAGGCCGAGGCAAGTGGATTACCTGATCCCGCGGGTTCGAGACCAGCCCAGGAAACTTGGCGAGACCTCGTGTCTACAATAAATCAAAAATTAGCCGGGTGTGGTAGCATGCACCTGTAGTTCTGTCTACTTGGAAGGCTGAGGTGGAAAGGAATGCTGGAGTCCAGCATGTCAAGGCTGGGTGGTCGTGAGTGTGCCATGGCACTCCAGCCTGAGTACCACATTTTTTAAATCCGGTTCTCTTTTGATGGGCAGCATGGTTGTTTCCAGGTTCTTGCTATTGTGAACAATGCTGCGATAAACATTCGCGTGCAGGTATCTTTTTTATAGAGTGATTTGAGTTCTTCAGGGTATATTCCCAGTAGGGGGATTGCAGGGTCATATAGGAGGTTGATGTTTAGAGCTTTTAGGAATCGCTACACTGCTTTCCACAGAGGTTGCACTAGTTTACACTCCCACCAACAGTGTAAGAGTGTTCCCTTTTCGCCACACCCTCTCCAACAACTATTATTTTCTGAGTTATTGATAATTAAAAATACTATTTTTATTGTAGTTTTTTTGGGGGAAATTGAATTTCCACTCTTATTTTTATTCTGTTTCCTTCTATGTTCTTGGATTTACTCTGTTGTTCCTTTTATTTTCATGAGTTGGATACTGGTTCACAAATAAAATATTAATATTTAAAGCTATACATTTTCATCAAAATGCCAGTTTTGTGACACCCAAAACAATCCAATGTTTTCACATTGTACTGCTTTCATTATAGTGAGCTTCATATAATACCATCTCTAACCCATGAATTATTTGTTTTTTAAATTTTCTAAAAAAGAAGAAATTTTTGTCTTTTTGTTATTAACTTTTAACAGAATTTCACTATGGTGAGAGAAGGTGTCTGTGATACGTGTTTATAGAAATTGGTGAGGTTTGTTTACAGTCTTGTACCTTGCTGTCTGGACCAGAAACATCAACTTGGGAGCTTTGTAGGAGAGCAAAATCTCAGATCCCACCTGAGTTCTATGAGTCTGACTCTGCATTTTAATGAAATCATCAGGTGATTTTTATCCATATTAAATTTTGAGAAGCATTAGTCTAGTATATAATGAATTGTTTTAAGTTTTCTATGTGTTAGGCTAAGTTTGTTAATTGTTTTGTTCAGATCTTCTATATCTTTCTTGATTTTGCAGGGCTTCTGTTCTTCCTTAATCTTACTTCTGGAACGACCTGCTCCACAAAACTTGACCCTATGTTTTCTTTCCTACCCATCTGGAATTTTTTTCTCTCTGGACAATATCATCCATGCCTGTGGCTTTAGTAACTTCCGATATACCGATGACAAATCTTTTCTCAGCTGTAGATCCATATTTCTGATTATATTCTTGACATCATCATTGGAATATCTCAAACACACCTCACTTTGCATGAGGCTTCCCTGGCTTCTGTCCATGTCTATCCTTTGGCTCATGAGTCTTCTCTGTGAAGGCTCACATTGCGCATGTTAGTTCCCTCTCAGATGTCTCAAGGGCCTGTAGAGGACCTCTCTTAATTCTCTCTTGGTTGCCTCAGTGCAACTGAGTGCTAACTTCCTGAGTTTTCTGGCCCCAGGACTGAGTGATCATATAAGAGTGTTGAGCTCTCCTGTTTCCACATTTTTTTTCCTCTGCCTCAGTCCATATAGCCAGCTCACCTACATCCTCGGTGTGTATATCTGTGTATATGTGACTTACTTATGTCCCTCTTATCACTCCTTCCCTATAAAACATCTAGCTGCACGTCCAGCCCTTACACCCCCAGTCTGATGTCTCCACCTTGAGTAGGGTATTATACCTTTTCCACTTCGCCAATAAGCCATGGTTCTGTCAGATTGACTCCTGCTTGCTGTGCCAATTTTGTGGAGTAGACTCTCTGGGTACTCACTGGTGATCAACTTGTCTAAATCCAGTGAAACAGGAGACACTCAAACACAAGTTACATGAAGTGGATGTATTACTGACAGATAGGCAACAAGGGACAACAGAAGCCTAGAACTCATTGCCGGCTGGTTCCCCAGCACTCAGGAAAGCTGCCCACGGCCAGTAGAAACTCATCTTTGATTGAGTTCCTCACTTGTACTTTCTGAGGGACAGCAGAAAGCACCCATCCTGTCAACACATGACTCACTGGACTAAGATGTTCAAGGACATCCTGTTTCTAGTGTGGACAGGAACAGAAACAGGTCTGTTCTGGCCAGTGCCCCTCTCATCTCAGGATGTTCCACTCCCAGCACATTCTATAGATTTTAGGTTGTATCCTTGACACTGTTCATGTTATTTTGGTTAGACTCTGAATTCTGCTGTTCTTCTCCCTCATGGGGCTGTCTTTCCCAAATTTTGACTCCACTCCACAATTTGCCTGCTTGTGTTTAATTTTAAGAATTCTTAGGTAGTTTAAAAAAATTTTGTTCAATATGTCTAATAGAATCGGTGAGAGAGAACAATTGCAGTTGGCTTAATCTATCTTGTCTGTAGGGCTGGTCTTGTCATGTTCTCAAATAAACAAAAATTACTTGTAGAACAAATAAATGAAGAAATGGACTGTCTGTTTACCAACGTCTTTTGGATCTTGAATTTTTGGAGCTTGAATTTTTTTGTTTCTTTTTCTTTGTTTTTGGCAGTTCATCCAATGAATCCCTTTAGTGTCAACTTTAAAAATGTAAATGCCACAAATGCCATCATGACCTGGAAGTTGCACTCCATAAGGAATTATATGACCTATTTGTGTCAGGTTGAGCTCTATGGTGAAGAAAAAATGATGCAAGTAAGAATGATGCTTAATTTTCTATTTTCAAAAAGTTTTTATGTCCTGAGCAAAGGGACTACCGAATAAATTTGCTTTAAACTCTTATTTCTGTGTGGGTTCAAATGGTGTGGGTCATCTATTTTTAAAGGGCCATAAAATTAATCATAGACTTTTAGAGGTGGGAAGAGGAATTTAGAGGGTTTTTTGTTTTTGTTTTTCCAAAGATTTGATTTGGCTTTGCAATGGAGATTTCTTCAATTTTCTGTCTTTTATCTTTTATTTTTATTTTTTCATCAAGCAACACAATGTTTCCGTCAAGGTGAATGGTGAGTATCTCTTAAGTGAACTGAAACCTGACACTGACTATATGGCCCGAGTACACTGTGCTGTCGCTAACCACTTCTGGAAATGGAGTGAATGGAGTCATCAAAACTTCACCACTTCTGAAGCTGGTATGTTCAGCTCCCTGGCATTCAACACAAGGATCTAAGCCTCAAGAGATGGGTTGGCTTCCCTGTGAGCTTTTGGTTGTACCAGAAACTAAGAGGAAAGTATTTCAGCAGAGGCAGGGTAGCATTTTTAAAAGAATGGATTAAATGCCAGATGAGAAGTGTGTGGGAAGATGTCAACCTCAAACATTTGACATTAGTATTATTTCTGCTGCATATTTTCTCTCTTATCTTTCATTTTTCCAAGGTGGTTTCTAAGCCACCACTATTGCTGGATTCACGTTGGATCTGGGGCTATGTAAATTAGTAAAGACCTTTAATTCAGGGCTGGAGACAAATCAAAGGGTTAATACCAAGGAAAACATTGGTCTCACACTAGACAACTCCAGGCCATGTTTGGAAATGTAGTGACATTTGGAACTTTGGTCATTATTAGTGAGTCATTTGTTCCAGTGACAGCACACTGTGAGCCCCTTCCAGAATGCTCTCAGTGGTAGGGTTTCCTCAATAGTGGCTGCACACACGGAGTTTTTTTCCCCAGGTAACTATGTCTCAGAGCTCAAATGGGCCTCAGGAGATTAGATAGCCTGACTCTGCTTCCATCTTCATCCAAGTCAAGATAATAAAGTATGACTGTTGCCCATTTTACAGATGAGGTTACTCATCCTCATAGACTGAAGAGACTTGGCCAGTCTGCAAAGTTACTGAATGGCAGAGACATCCTCATAATCACAACAGTTAACATTTACTGTGTGCCAGACGTAGCTCTGAGTGCCTGCAGTGCTTTTCTCTTTTAATCCTCTCGGTAGCATGCAGTCGGTACTATTATTATCCTCATACAAATGAGGACACCAAGGCATAGAGAGAATAAGTGATTTAACTGGTCCCGCAGGTCACTGACTGGGCTGCAACTCACACTCAGGCATCCTGATTTCACAACTCCACCCTTAGAGCTCTGTTCAGTGTGTTCTCTCAGTGTTCTTACTTGAGTCTTGTGGATGCAAGTCACAGCTATTTACCAGCCAAAGGAAAGATTATATGTCTGTATTTTATTCCGTCTTCTTATTTGTGTTTGGAGTCTGGCAGAACTCTTTTGGTTTCATTCTAAGAGAACCATTTTAAAGCAGTGACGAATTGGGGGCAGGTGAGGGCAGCTAATCAGAATCCACTTACCGGACATGGTCATTCATCTAGCTCAGCAGGCCTTGCCTCCTTCCCTGGTGGCTTTTGCCCAACCTTGTGCCCACCAAGACACTAGTCATTTTTCCCAGGAATGCAGACTCTTCAAAAATCTTTGATAATACTATTTTGCTTTGAGTTGTTTGTTTTCTGCAAATTTATACCAACATAATAACTAAAATTATGTGCAAAAGGAAAGTGGTGAAAGGAGAGAGTTTCTTTTAGAGTATAGTATAATAAACCTGAAAATACTTTGCTTTTGATGATGACAAGAAAGGGAGGTGAATCTACTGATGGTGAATCTTTAGATTTTTTTTTAAACCTCTGATAACATGTTGCTTAATGCTGGAAAACTCAATGTTTATGGGGATTAAAATCATACTTAAGTCTAATCATAGTGAGCAGACAGTGAATTAAATGACATCATGGTAGAAGCTATGTTGTATATAAATATGTGGTGCTATCAACTGTATTGAAGCACTCATTTGTTATTAAGTAATGTTTTACAAACCAGCTGCAGATTCTGAATTGAGCTTGGAGTTTGATATTTTTCCTGAATATGCCAGTAAAGTTTTTGGTTTTATATTGGCTTCTCCAGTGACTTATTTAGCAAATTGAAATCTTCTTTAATAGATTCAAATATATGTGTGTGTGTGTGTGTGTGTGTGTGTACACACACACACACAGCTAGGTACAGTGGCTCACATCTGTATTCCCAACATTTTGGGAGGCCAAGGCATGAAGATTGCTTGAGCCCAGGAATTTGAGACCAGCTTTGTCAACACAATGAGACCTCATCACTACAAAAAAATCCCCCAAATTAGTCAGGCTTGGTGGCACATTCCTGTAGTTCCAGCTACTTGGGAGGCTGAGGCACAAGGATTGCCCGAGCCAAGGAGATCAAGGCTGTGGTGAGCTTCGATTATGCCACTTACTCCAGCCTGGGTGATGGAGTGAGACGCTGACTCAGGGGTAAAAGAAAAAGGTCAACAACTTAAAAAAAAAAAAAGAACTTGAGCCAGGCTCGGTGGCTCAGCCTGTAATCCCGTGCCTTTGGGAGGCTGAGGTGAGTGGATTACCTGAGCCCGAAGGTGCAACACCCTGTTAATTTGGTAATTTTTGTTAGTTTCATGACAGTTGCTGTTTAACACTTTCAAAATTAGCAGTCAAATTTTTTAAACCATTTATAAGTGAATGGAGAATTTATACTGAAAAAAAAAAGTCTTATGAGTGATGCTACAGTTTAATTTTGAGATCCAGAAAGCTGAGACAGAATTTCAGCACATTTGTAAAATGATTGGGTAGATAGTTGGAGATGTTTTTGAGACAGGATTTGAAAGTGAGGAGTGCTGTCAGGGCTCAGTTGCCAAATGACATTAATCCCTATGAGTCCCTTTCTTGTCTCCCTGGATGTGCTAAAATTGTGTCATCTATGTCTTCAGCAGTGAAAGCCTGATATTTCTTGTGGTTTGGTAATGTTATAAATTCTCTTTTTGACTGCTTTTTGTTGCCCATTTTTGTAAAAGTCATGCCATGACAAAACTGACAACAGAAAATTTGATTCCTTGTAGAATCCAGAGTACAGTATTACACAAATATCTAAAAGATAATTTACAAACAAAAACACACATACTCATCTTAATGGGACTTTCATAATACTTTTAATAATCAATGATTAAACATGTCCCTTTTAAAGATTTTTAAATTGTATTGATTTTATTAGTTTTTCCTCACTGAGATTTTTTTTAAGTGAGAGTTTTACTGAGCTTGTCATGCAAACTGGGCCTTTAATTGACCATCTATTTTCTAAAGGCGAATAATGGAATAACTAAGAACCTAACTAACCACCCTGGTTCAAATCTTGGCTTTACTCTTAGTTTCATTCAGATACTTTTGATAATTTTGAGCAATTAACTTAATCTCTCTGTGCCTTAGTTTTTGGTTTTTCTGGGGGGTTGTTATTGTTGTTTTTATCTAGGGAATGGGATAAATAATCATACATGCCTCATAGAGTTGTTATGTGAAACATTTGGAACTGGGTTGGCACCTCGTAACCTCTATAAATGTTAACTGTTATTATGTATGAATGAGATCCCCCAAACAATTTTATATGGGGTACCCAGAGTTTATTTGAATTGAAAGACTGACCTTTCTTCAGAAGTTGTTGAACAAGTGCATATTTAGATGCAAAAATCAATCAATTAATCAATCAGTTTGCAAAGACTTCTGAGTGAGGGATGGAGACCAGAAAATATTGGGACATTGAAGCAGGTTGTTTAGGCTTCCTTCTTAATTTGCTTTTTATTCATTCAAACAATATATCATGAAGTGCCAGGTCCTGAGCTAGATGATAGATTGTTGTTGTTGTTGTTTGTTTTTGAGGAAAAGCGAACCTTGCCCTAAGATGGCTCTCCAGTAGTGTTCCTCTACTGCAGCCTTCACAAATGCAACAAGGAAGTAGTAATAGTCTGTTGCCCAGGAAAAAAAAAGGGACATTTACCTAACTCCGAGAATTGGTCTGATAGGTTATTCCAAAATTCTTCAGTGGCTTCTAGAAATTCTAAGACTTGACATTTATAAAGGCTTTCACAGGCAGCTGACCTTTTAATAAAATACCTACTATGTGCACCTAGTGGTGAGTGAGCAGTGTGGCAATGGACAAGTAGTAGAGTCACAGAGATTGAACAGCGGAGAAGCTAGTCTCAGGTCGCACAGATAATCATCATGTCCTTGATCGATCTAGAAAAAAGTTGGGTGTGTTGCTTTATATGTATATTATGACTCAATAACTTTTCTTTGGCAAATTTCAGCTCCCTCAGAGGCTCCTGATGCCTGGAGAAATGTGAAGTCAGAGCCAGGGAGTTGTATTGTGACCTTGTTCTGGAAGGTAGATGTGCAGATTCAAAAAGTCTGATTTGTTGCCATTGTGTCTTCCTGTGTGAAACTGTGGATTGATGCAGTCTCCCAACTGGGAGGGATCTTAACACTAACACTTTACTGAATTCCAATAGAATTCTCACCCAGTGAAGGAATCCCACTCTACTTCATTGACAGCCCATGCTCCTAATGACCAGTTAAGGTTGTTAGAAACTTCTCTGCAACTTCAATTCAGGCCCTCCTAACTTTTGCAGAGCCCAGGATACAAGTGGACAACCACAGTTAAAAGTTATGAATATTTAAACACTCATACTATTTACATTTAGAAGTTATGGATCTAGCTTAAAAGAACTGTAATGTAAAATACATTTTATCCTTCTGTCTTGCCTAATATACTTTCATGACCACCTGGAAGACTAGGTTTGTATTCAAAACTCTCAGATTCTTCAGGGTTTCATACAAAAACATGGCGGTGCTGAGAGAGTTGACTGTGGCCACAGCTTACCCCACTTTTCTTTTTACCTCCAGATTGGCACATTCCACACATGCAGACATTCCAGCCTTCATATCCAGGGTCCTTTCACATCCCACACAGACAGCCACCCCCAGCTCACTCTCAGGTCTAGGTGTGCACATACCAAGGACACAGTCTGTCCTAGAGACAGTAGGCCCAAGGAACAGACCCTGGAAGTGGTGAAGACATTATCTACAACATGGGGGAGCATCTAGAAGAGGGTTCTGGGTATAAGGAGCAGCTGTCCCTGTACAGATGTATATAGACAACACCACTGGAAGTGGGCTGATGCCAGGATGCAGGCTTCTCCAGTAGGATCCCAGGGTGGTGCTATTTCTAGTTATTGCTCTTTTCTCAGCTTCTACCCCTTAAGTCTCTTTTTCTTCCAGGTTATAGAGTTTCCCTTCCTCTAGATTTCAGACTTGATCACTCTCCTCTGGACACATTATGCTCTTGCGTATTTCATCCCCCAGTAATTCTCTTCTCTTTTCAACTTCGGTTGGATTAGAATGTCTCACTTCAGGCCTGGTTGAGAGGGTCATTTTCTCATTAAGCTGTTTGAATTTGCTGGTGTGTGTGTGTGTGTGTGTGTGTGTGTGTGTGTGTGTGTGTGTGTGTGTGTGTATAAGGCAGTTGATGTACAGAAACAAAGTGGAAAACTGATTATACAAATTCCTTTCAAAGTAAAGCCCATTTAAAAATGATTATCAATGTTTTTTCAGCCATTATCAAAATTTCATTCCAATGGGAAGATCCTGTTCTATAACGTAGCTATAGAAAATCTAGACAAACCCTCCAAGTTGGAGCTTCATTCCATTCCTGCACCAGCCACTGGCACAAAACTAATCCTTGACCGATGTTCCTACCAAATCTGCATCACAGCCAATAACAGCGTGGGCACTTCTCCGGCTTCTGTCATGGTCATCTCTGCCGACGTTGAAAACAGTGAGTTTGTTTTTGTTTTGTTTTGTTTTTATTCTTTAGAAAATATTGATGATGTTATTAAGAAGTGATGGATAAATTGTGAAGACAAACAACTTAGGAAGACAATATCCAGTCACCAAATGGTTAGTCATTTTCTTTTGGGTCAAGAGTGTCAACACCTGTCGTTTGGACAGTCTCCATCAGTATGGGAAGAAGAAGATTTCAGCCATGACTCAGGACATTTCTGTCCCAAGGATTCTTCAGTGTACTTGGGAAATTCTCTCAAATTTATTCCAGTAAATGTAATCTCAACAAACAGTCCTTTCTGAAAGTTAGAGTTAGTATTTGAGAGTTTTGTGGCTTGTGAAATATGAGTTGCATTGGCTATGTTGTAAAAAATGTTGTCAGTCTTTGTCACCTAGAAAGAGCCCTTGAAAATTTCCAGAGATCCTAAGAACTGGCATCATCTTTCACTTGGGCCTCTGCCAACTTTGTAGAATGAAATACAATATTTGGCTAATCTCTTAGCTTGTGAAAGAGCAAACAAGGTGGAAATTACTTTACTTGCCAAATCAATAGTGATAGCAACTTCCTCCTTAGAGAACCATAAAAAGAGTAAATCCCCACTGTCACATGCTATGAGATGACACACATGCGGGCATAAGAGGTTGGCAATTGACAACATAAGATCATTTATGAATCTTACTATAATATCACCCTTCAGTTCCTGCTATTAAATTTTCCAGACCCTGGTTATGAGCTGATGGCAGGTTGTATGATACCTATTACTCAAACTCAGTTTCAATTTGAGTTAAATGGACTGGATTAGAAGATATTGTTTTGTTTTATTTTGATTTTGTAAAGAACTGTTCAGTGTGTCAGATAAGTAAAAGAAATGAGTGTTGTACCACAGAAGAAAAGCTCTAGGAGTTAATTTAAGAGTAGTTTCGTGCCACCTTTGCAGAAAGTTGTATTCTGACTTCATTAGGGCCAGAACAGGAAAAAGGAGTGTTTCAGTCAGCCTGCAGTAGCTGGTAGATAAAGGAAAAATTGCCTCTGATAAGGGCTAAGTTCAAAGCAACTTTGCTGAGTGCTGTTATCTGTTTTGGGGGCTGCCTGTGAATTCACACCATACTTTCTATCCCCTGCCCTGCCTTCAGACTCCCAGAACTTCCTATGGGAGGCTCCATCTAGCTTTCCCTAAAGTGGTCCATGTTCTTAAATCACTAGTGTGTAAAATGTTCCATGAGAAAAACCAATTAAGGTTAAGCCAGTTTACACTAGGGTGTGAATGACTTAAAAAAGATTCCCTTACTCTTTTCTCTGCCTTCAACCCTCAAAACATATCTTCAGTTTTAAAGAAGGAGCTTGCTAAGAGCTATAACCCCGAGTTTGGAATTAAATTTTAGCTAGTGGGAATAATGAAGTGAAAGATGTCAACTTCTATGTGAAAGAGATTTGTTACTTTGATGGAGGAAGGTAGAGAAACCATATATGTAGGATCTGTGAAGCTTTCTTGGGCTTTTACTTTATCTCTAGGGCTACATATTCCTTTGGGTTCCCCTAGATGGATAATAATTTGATGCACTAGAAAAATGAATAACACCGAGCTTTCATACCAATGTTCAGTCCTAATTAGGATCGCTGGATAAAATATAGGATGCCCAGCTAAATTTCAATTACAGATAAACAACCAATCTGTTCTTAGTGTAAGTCTGTGGAAATAGGAGAAATTCTCACGACTCAAGGTCAAGGTGTAGTCCTGCTGGAAGTCAGTAGAACTGCTATTCCCTTGAGACCAGGTTACCTTTCTTCCAATTGTCAGATGTTAAGAAAACTACCTTAGCATATAAAATATGTTACGATGGCGGCCTCAGTCATAAACTGTGTGCACATTCTCACATAATCCAATTTGGTACCTGCTTGAATTTTCTTCTTCATTTTTTGCCCTCAACTGAATTCCTCCCCCTAACATCTCAGAAGCAGTGGTTAGTTCGGGCAGCTGACCATTATTGTGGGGGAATTAAGCAGCATTAGTCATTCATTCAATGTTTTGAAGGCCATATTGAGTCCTAGACATGGTTCTAGGTCAAGGATCAGCAAATTTTTTGATAAAGGGGCAGAGAGTAAACATCTTGGGCTTGGCAGATCATACTGTCTCTGTTATATATTCTGTACCCTATTTGCTGGTTTATTTGGTTTTTTATAACCCTTACCCAGTCTTAAAACCATTCGTGTAAAAACCAGCCTGAACTAGCCTGAAATTGTCCTGCTGGCAGGGGTATGCTCACCTCTGTTCTAGGTGCTGAAGTCTGGGTGGGTCTCAGAAGATGGCGATGAGAGGCATCTGAAAGTCACAGTGAATACTCACTAGAAAGTGAGAGACAGGAACACACCCGTGAAAACATCCCCATCCAACCCCTGTGGCCATTGAAGTGTTATAGGGCTTGCCCCTGCCAGATACAGAGCACACATACATTTATTATCTTCCTTAGACACTTAAAAAAATTACAGGAAATTAAACCTGAAGCATTACCCTATTTATTTACGTACAGAAGAAGTTGAGGAACAAAGAATTAATGGCACAGAGGATGGAGTCTCTATGTCTTGGGAGCCCCAGTCTGGAGATGTCATAAGCTATGTGGTGGAGTGGTGTGACCGGCCCCAGGACCTGCTCTGTGACCTTCAGTGGAAAAACCTGGGTCCCGATACCACAAGCACAGTCATTAGCTCAGGTAAAAAGAACCTTCCATGTCACTGTGATGCTATATCTACCTTGCAGCAAGTTCAACTAGGATTGTGGACTGCCACACAGATACTTTGTGCTAAGCAAATAATTTTGAAAGAAAAAATCCAGCATGGGTGCTAGGAGTTCAGATATTACAAGAGTGTGTCTTAAGATTTGACCTTTAAATCTACGTTTGCTGAGAATGTCTAGACCTAAAGTGGGAATACATTTTCTAAACCTTTTTCTCTAAATTAGCATGTGGTCTCAAATAAATGGCAGAGAGATAGTGTAACGGTTTTTTGGAGAGCTTTCAAAAAAATTTTTTTAAACTTTTTATTGTTTTAGAGATAAGACCCCTCTCTGTTGTCCAGCCTGAAGTGTAGTGGCAGGATCATAGCTCACTGTAACCTCAAACAAGCTCTGCATGTTCTGGTGAAACTGAAGAAGTTGTTGATCAAGGAGGATGAATCACTTGGCCTCCCAAAGTGCTGGAATTACAGTCATGAGCCACTATGCCTGGCCCCCAGAGAGCTTTTACAAAAGCAGAGAAATTATGTGGATTTTGGAACTGTTTGGGACATAGAGTTGATCATCAACTTCTTCACTTTCAGTAGAACATGTAGAACTTGAACGCTCACCTCCTACATTAGATTTGTAATATGAAGACTGCTGGTTTAGCAAAGCCAAAGGAACTCAGGTTTGTGGCTTCAGCTTGAAGGGGAGGAGTGGATGGCGCCATCTACTGGGCTCGGGGAAAGATGTGGAAAGTGTCCAAATCTGGCAGGGGATCAAGGCCCCTGACAATTTCAGTGGCACGGTGGGTTTTGGAGGCAGGATTGCAGAGGTGCAGTTGTGAAGGGAAATGAGAAAGTGGAAACAAATCCTTCAAGACCCTTGACTTTCATAGGAAGAGGGAAGGCCAGTAACTGGAGGAATATTTGGAATCAAAGAAGGGTTTGAGCCGGGCGTGGTGGCTCACACCTATAATCCCAGCACTTTGGGAGGCCAAGGCGAGAGGATTGGCTGAACTTATGGGTTCGAGACCCACCTGGGCAATTTGGCGAGACCTAATCTCTACAATAAATAAATAAAACTTAGCCTGGCATGGTGCCTGTAATTCCAGCTACTTGGAAGGCTGAGGCGGAAGGATCACCTGAGACTAGGAGGTCAAACCTGTGGTGGCTGTGAGCGTGCCACTGCACTCTAGCCTGGGCAACAGAGTGAGACTCCAACTCAGAAAAAAAGGGGGGGTGGAAACCATTTTATATGTCTGGTCTAATTCTGCACCCAGTCCCAGGCATGCACGTGGATACGGGTGTGTTTGAGAGCTTGTGCTGGAGGGGACGCTGTGGAGGCCAGTCCCTGCAGGTCTTGCTGGATGCAAGACAAGGGTCACATGTCTGCAACACGGAGGACTCCAATGCTTTGCAGAAGGGGGAAAGATGGTAGAGATGAAATACAAAATTCCTGAGAGGAGTTATTAGGGAAACACAAGTTCATTTTTCATTTTTTTCTTTCAGAATTTGCAAATGCCATTCTGTGTTATTAAAAATTTGTTGAATTTTCTTCCCTAGATGCTTTTAGACCAGGCATCCGATACAATTTCAAGATTTATGGTTTATCTACAAAAAGGATTGCTTATTTATTAGAGAAAAAAACAGGATATTCCCAGGAACTAGGTAAGTTTAAGACTTGTAATGTGCCCCATGTGCAGACTTGTTCAGAGCCCTTCACAGATTCCTAGCTTTGGGTTTAGGGAGATTCCAGGACCTTACCTAATTTTTGATGTCCCATTTATCTTGTTAGTTGGGCTTTTAAATGTATTTTTAATCATACAAGCATAAGACATTTTCATTCAATCTCATTGCTGAATATCTCTTTCTTCTTTTGCCCAATCTCTTATGCCCTATATGAATCCTCATCATTTTAGCTAAATCTTTGTTGATATCACTGGTAATGGATTTTAAATGAAGGCTTAGAAGTAGACTACTTCAGTCACAGGGTTTGAATTTCCCGAATCTTTTTTTCATGTAAGTTTTACATACATGTCGTGAAATCACCCCCTAGAAATGCTACCACTGCCTTACCAGCAGCATAGGAGATTTGTGACCCTCTTGTGGGGTTGCTTATTCATCTTCTTTGGCATTCTTGATTGCTTCACACTAACCAACTCCCAAGGGTTTTTCTTTTGGCAGGAGCTAACTCACAGTTCACAGCTGGCTCTGAGGCAGGCAGGAGGTGTGTTGTTTGTGTGTGTGCTGGGGTGTACAGTCTGAGCGTGCATGAGCATGTGTGGGAAAATGGCCTCAGAGAAGCCTTCAAGAATAAACATTGAAGGAGTTTTTTCAATGACACTTGGACAGCTTGCATTGCCACCACCTGAGAACTAAAGTTTTTCAAATTCCTCCTTGCCTCTTTGAACAGAACCCTCCTCATCCTCCACCTCACTTTAATAGGTTTTGTGGTTGGGTTGTCTCTTAAACACTATTTAGAATTCTAGAGCAAATTAAATCTAAGAAAGACTCTTAGCCAGCCTCCCCCCCCTTCCTTCTCTTCCTCCCTTCCTTTTCTGTGTGAGTTTGTGCAAGTTATTTATTCCCTCTCGGCATTCATATCTTTATCTGTGGAAGGCAAGGCTTGAACAAGAAGATTGCTCAACTCCTTTCCAGCTAACACAAACAATATCAAGACACACATCTTCTAGAGAAACTGATAACACTCCCTAATTTGGCATAAGTTCTTACAACCTCCAGAGCTGGTTGTGGCTCTACTTTTAGTTGACATGAACGTTTTGAGGCTGTGTTTTCAAATTATGAATTTTTTCTTACCCCAACTTCTTTTCCTAGCTCCTTCAGACAACCCTAAAGTGACTGTGGATAAATTGACATCACGCTCTTTCACTCTGAGTTGGAAGGATTATTCCACTGAATCCCAACCTGGTTTTATTCAAGGGTACCATGTTTATCTGAAATCCAAGGCGAGCCAGTGCCACCTGGGATTTAAAAAGGCAGCTCTCTCAGGTGACATCTATTTTTAATTTGTTTGTTTATTCTTCTAAGATCTCATTATTCAAAATCATTGGAAAGGCTTGTATCTCTGACTGTGGCCAGGCCAAATTCTCTTCTTGCATAATTTTATGATCAAGAGGTGTTCTTCACAAATCAGTAGAATAAACAAGGTGGGAGGTGGGGGCAAGATTTTAACTTATGTCAAAAACAATGAGGCCTGGTATTTTTAGAAACACTCAAAACACCATCAGCACCTTAAGAAGTCCTACTACTTATGAAACTTTCTTGCCCTGTTTTCTTTCTTTCTTTGACTTGACTAAGTGTTATTATAACTAATGTTTAAGTCTCTTTCAAGCTCTTACTGCTTTTGCAAATGTGTATGCTCTACCTAGATCGCCAATATATCTTGTTTAGTATATTATTTTGCTTTTTTGTGTCATCTCTGGAACATTTCACCAGTGTCCCCAGGGTGATGAAATTATGATTTGATTTTTGGTTGGTTTAAAATTTTTGCATTAACAAGAGTATTGGTGTCCAGCTCTCACAAGATCTCTACCATACTTTTAATAATTTTTTTCTTGAAAAAAACTTTAACTTTTTTTTTTTTTATATCACAGCCGATTCAGTATGTTGCATACACAAAATCGATAACCCGGAACAAAAGACAGTCACTGTAGAAAACCTACAGCCGGAATCCTCCCATGAGTTTTTCGTCACTCCATACACAAGTGCTGGCGAGGGCCCCAATGCTACTTTCACAAAGGTCACGACTCCAGATGAACACTGTGAGTTTTTCCAAATCAAAACTCTTCCCTTAGGAGTTTCTGGGAAACTAATGAATTACTGAAATGTTGCCTTGTCTAGTGTTTGTCTAGATCTGGAATTTTTAGACCTTTCTTGTCCTTATCCCACCTACCTCTCTTCTCTCAATGAAACCCTTTGTTTCACACACACACACACACACACACACACACACAAAATTGCACAGAATCTTACAACATAAAACAGATAAAGTGGAACTAATCTGACCGATTATGTCCTGGAACCTTCCTGTTGCCTCCCTCAGTGGCCCCTGAGGCACTTCTTTGGAACTCAGTCTCAAAAAACTGTATGTAGTTTGAAAATGGCTTCTGTCTAGAGGAGATTGGAGATGGTTTTCTCAGCAGAATTACTCTCTGCATCCGGCTTTCCTCTCTGGCTGGTTTCCCTCAGGGGCAAACTAATTGCTTCCTGACTTTGCAGAGGCTTCCGGGGCAATTAAAGATGGGTGTAGTGGAGTGGGAATTGGGCAGGGGGAGGGAAGCTTGTTCACACACTCCATGTTTGCATATTTGGTGGGGGAAAGAGTGAGATGAAGAGATAGATCTTTTTCCAAATGCATTGAATGGAGAAAGAAGAGGGAAGGGAGAAGAATGGTTGGAAACGGCTGATGGAAAAATGTATTCTTATGGTAGACATTGGCATCCAAAAAATAGAAATGTGTTTAGAGATAGTGAATACTGATGCAGGAAGGAGGAGAAAATAACATCTCTAATGAAGGGATCATAGCAGGTCTTGGGAGAAACCCTTGAGGATATACCTTCTTGGAAAGCAAATAGGCTCAAAGATCTTGCCTAAAGCTACCAACTTTCCTCAGTAAGACGGGAGGGCACATCTGGTGGGACAGAGGTTCTTGGAGTGCCCTGGCAATGGATTGCAGACTCACACCTCTGTAATGGCAGGCTGTGGTACTCACTTCTCTTTGACTACCACACTGGAACATGGCTCTTGGTCTCTAAGTCAAAATGTTCCTATCAAATTAAGATATGAGTCAACCGGGTTCGGTGGCTCAGCCTGTAATCCCGTGCCTTTGGGAGGCTGAGGTGAGTGGATTGACTGAGCCCGCGGGTTCGAGACCCGCCTGGGCAGGCGAGACCACATCTCTACAATAAATAGAGATGTGGTCTCTGCCAGGCGTGGTAGCGTGCACCTGTAATTCCAGCTACTTGGAAGGCTGAGGCGGAAGGATCGCCGGAGCCCAGCAGGCTGAGGCTGCGGTAGCCGGGAGCAGCCACTGCACTCCAGTCTGGGTGACAGAGTGAGACTCCAACTGAAAAAAAAAAAAAAAAGATCTGAGTCAATGATTTACATTACTTGCCATTTTGAATTAATTTTAAATTTATTTTCAGGTTAGTTTTCGTCTAACTTTGGAATGTACTTGGTTGATACACACACACACACACATATACACAAATTATTTTTATTTTAAGCATATTTTCTAAGTATCATTTATCACTCTTATGCTTTATTAGTCTTGGCTTATGGCTCTATTGATTATATTATTAGTTAAAATCAAATATAAGAAATGTTTACAACCTCCATGACAGTGATCTTACTCATTTTAAACAGGCAGAATATTATGTGGCTAATACTGAGACCTTGAAATGGGACTAGAAAATATTGGCATCTGCTAAAGTAAGGCTGGGATGATTAAAAAAAATTAAAAAGACCAGAAATGCAGAACATTAATGTGACATTGAAATGGCCAAGTTGTATATTATGTTCAGCCTCTCAGTACTTTTCAAAATGTTAGGTTGGTGAGCTGAGCCAGTGCCATAAGTATGCAAAGAATTGTGAAGAGGATAGATTAGAAAAATAGCTTATTCAGAAAGTAGATTAGAAGAGAACGTATTCACTTTTCAAGAGAGAGAAGGGGCCAGATGCTAATAAAAGCATGGCCCCAAATTTTCAGGGCTGGGGGCTTATTAGGCTTTTTTTTTTTTCAGGAGGGCAGGCAAACATTCTTGGGTGAGGTAACACAGGAGCTGTTGCAGTGGTGATGATCTGTAACAAGATACATAGGGGGTGATTAGTCATAGATGGTCAATCACACAGACAATGACTGGGCCAGTAGCTAGAAGACGAATTCTTGGGACAAAGATGATAACCTAAGAATGACTGGGCCATAGCTGAAAGACAGAGTCTTGGGATAAAGATGGGATATTAATCTTAATGTCTTGTGACCAAGTAGAATGAAGCTTGGGGGACTCTTGGGGGGACAGAAAACTAGTTGTTCTTCTTGTTAATGATTATTGCTGTGGATGTAGCAATGACCTAAGTACACAGACAGGGTTGCTTAAGGTGATCAGAGAAACTCCCTTTTGGCTTTATCCTTTCACAAAATAGTCCCCTCTCTCTGTAATTGACTTGTTTTAACTTCTCCCAGTGGGAGACTGGATTACTAAGTAGAGATAATGAGGCACAGAGAGGGTAATAAAACCATTTAAAGGTATAGAGCATCCAGCCCAATTGTAATGTGTGTTTCTGTATTTGGATATTTGACACTACATTTTGTTACAGCCAGATCAGGTTCTTATGCCCACTGCCAAGAAAAATTAAGACTGACACAACCATTACAATAGAGGAAGAGTTTAAAATTGTAAACAGCTGAGCAAGGAGGATGGAAGATAGTTGTCAAATCTGTTTCCCCAAGAATTCAGAAGCTAGGGTTTTTAAAGAGAATTTGGCAGACAGGGGACTAGGAATTGCTGGTTGATTGATGATGTCATGAAACTGCCTTTATGTCACAGAGTCAATTTCTGGGAGGGGTTTCACAGGACCAGTGGAGCCAGCTTCTTGGTATGTGTTTTTGGCCAGGGTGGGGTCTTGGGTCCACCAGAATCTGAAAAAAATCTCAAAATACCATTCTTGGATCTTGCAACAGATGCCATCTATAAAGCATGTCCAGTGACCATCAGCGACTAACCCGTGGGTAGCAAGTTAAAACAGAGGTAGTTTAGGAGGAAGGTATGTGGTAGGTGGGGTCCCTGGAGATTGGAGTGGCTTTTATTTTTCACCCTCTGCTTTTGTCCTCAAGGAGATCTAACTATGCAGCCTTGAGCCCATTGTTTAAAGAAAAAAATGTCTATCAGCCTTGCAGGGCAGCTCTCCCCCACCCCAGGGTCAGGACATGAAGATAACCAATTGTCCTCTATTGGAGTAAAAGCAAACTTAGAAACAACAGATTTGTTAATTTCTAAGGATAACTTCAGCTTTTCAGGACACAGATCTCTTCTACAACTTTTATCCTGTGGCCTGTTGTTCATTTTATATAGATGGTTTCAATTTCCTTTTGAATTTAATACACATACTGAGTAATTGTTCAAACCTGAGTATGGAAGTGGATTATGTTCCAAAAGTTTGTTTTTAAAATTAGCCTGAAAATAGCTGAAATGGAAAAGATGAGAAATACTAAGTGTTGATGAGGACGTAGAAAAACTGGAATTCACATACCTTGCTGGTAGGAGTAAATTGGTATATGCGATTTTGGAAAATTGGTAGTATCTTCTGAAGTGAGCTCTTTCATGTGAAGATATATACCCTTAAAAAATTTCCACATGAACCTTAAAGAAATACCCAAAGACATGTGCTAGAATGTTGATAGCAGCACAATTCATGAGATTTGTAAACAGGAAATACCCATTGCCCATTAAGTACAGGATACATAATTGTGATATATTCATGCAGTGGAATATCATATGGCAACGGGAGTGGACATTCTACAGTTACAGAAATAATAAGATAAATCTCACAAATGTAATGCTGAGTAAAAAGAGCCAGACATAACCCCTGCCCTGTGACTCTATTTATAAAGCATAGAAAAAGGCAAATGCCATCTGTGCTGTTACTAAAAAGGCTAGTGGTTACCTTGGGAGGGAGTAATGACTGACTGGGGACACAAGGGTGGCTTGCTGGGGTGCTGGTAATGCTCCTGTTCTGGATCTGGGTGCTAGTTACACGGTGTAGTCAGTTTGTGAAAATACATCGAGCTGTGTACTAATGAGCACTTTTCTGTATGTTTATATTATACATGAGTAAATAGCTTAGCAAAACTGGTCTGAAATTTAGAAACAGTTAGGTCTCCACGTTTGCTTTCAAATACATTATAAATCCATAATTTATCTAAAAATTTTAAACCAATTGTGTAACAGAAAGCAAATTTGGCTACTCACTGGCCAAAGCCAAACGTGAGAGAGGAGGCATGGTGGGGAAAAAAAAGAAGCCAGAAGCTGGGGAGATGGCCAAGCTGATACCTCCAATGGACTACTTCCACTTTGGGGCTGCGTGCAGAGGTTTAAAAAGAGAAACTGGGTATGAGGAGCATGTGGGAGACACAATGGGTGCTGGTTTACATGGTTTGCTCCAATGACTATCTTGAGTTACTGCCCCATCCAATGAGTTTTAGATTAACCACAGCCTTGAAGTAATCTCCAGGTGGGAGAGAATCCCACTGACATCTGGTTTGTTTCAAGATTAGCTCCAGAACTTCTAAGCAAAAACATAATTAGATAAGCACACATAATGCAAGGGAGTGTCTTGTGGGAAAAGAGAGGAAAGAAACCTCTCAAGCATGCTTTAAGTCTACATTTGGGTGGGGTGGGGAGAGAGAGAGAAGGAGAGGGAAAGGGAGAGAGGGAGAGAGGGAGAGAGGGAGAGAGGGAGAGAGGGAGAGAGGGAGAAGCAGAAGGATCATCTGGGCCCAGGAGGTCAAGGCTGCCATTCCACTCTGTCCACTTCTGGGGGACAGAGTGAGAACCGAACTCAAAACAAAAAAGATGTTTATTGCAGTGGGAATACACATGCCATAGCAAACTATATACGTATTTAGGGAGGTAGAGGAAGACAAAGGATTTTAAAGGAAACGTATATGAGGAGGATGACATAATTGTTTTGAAATAATTATCACTGGCTACAAAGAGCAATAACAAGGATGACACCAGTCCGAGATTAGACAGGCAGCTGCTGGTCATATGTCCTTGGAGATGCATTTTTTATATAATGTTGCTTTTGTACAAGGTTATGGGTTTTTGTTATCAAGCATATAAGCATGAGAACTGTCTCCTCATGGCCTTCCCAGTTCTATTTTTCTGACATTAGTGACTCTACATTGATTCTGACAACTTTCACAATGGGCATTTGAAAAAAATGAAGCACCAGTTGACATATCTGAGAAGCAAAATGTAATTATTATCCTAGGTCAAGACATATCCAGGTAATTTTATCTGAGGCTAACTATAAGGAGTACACCAGTCAATTTTTGATATGTAACAAATCTCAGTGGCATACTAGAACAAATATTTCTTTCTGTGCTTGAGTTTACCGGTTGGCCAAGGCTTGGCTGATCTTGCTGGGCTGAGCCAGACTCCAGGCTTGAGTCAGGTTCAGGTTTGTTTCATGTATTTTCACTCTCGGACTCAGGCTGAAGCGGCAGCAGCTACCTGGGCCACACTCTTGTCATGGTAGGTTCCAGGAGCACAGGAGAGCAAGTCAACCTGTGCAGGCATATTAAAGCACTTACTGGCTCATATTGCTACGACTAACATCCCATTGACCAAGCCAAGCTGCATGTCTGAGCCCCAACTCAAGGGACAGGAAAGGATTCTCCGGCCACCATGAAGCTTTGGCAAGGGTAGGAATGTATAATTCTAACACTGGGAGTCATGATCCAATCTAGAAGAAGCGAGGAGTTTGAATCATACAGTGTTGGTGGCAAATAACTTCCTGTGTTGGTCAGTTGATCGTTTTTCCCCCCTAGTCAGGCAGAACTCATTTTGAAGCTTGTAAAAAGAGACATCTGAGGAATAATAAACACGTAAAATTTGCCAGGAGCAGTGGCTCATACCTGTAATTCCAGAACTTTGGTAGGCGGAGGCGGGAGGATTGCTTGAGTCTAGGCGTTTGAGATCAGCCTAGGCAATGTCTGGAGACCTCATCTCTACAAAAATTAAAAAAAAAAACAACAAACAAAAGCCAGGCATGGTGGTATATGCCTGTAGTTCTGTTACTCCAGAGACTGCTGTGGGAGGATCACCTGAGCCCAGGAGGTAGAGGCTGCAGTGAGCCATGATCTTGCCACTGCACTTCAGCCTGGGTGACAGAGTGAGACTTTGCCTCAACAAACAAAACAAAAAACTTTTAAGTAAGAACTAAGTAACTATTTACTAAATTATAAAGCAAGGATTAGAAGCCTCCAGAATTCTGTAAAATTACTCTCAATCATAAACTTATTTTTATTCTTTTGAAAAGGGAAAAGTACTCATAACAAACATTCTTTTCTTTTTCCTTCTTCAGCCCGTATGCTGATTCATATCATCCTGCCCATGATTTTCTTCATCTTGTTCATCATGACCTTATGCTACATGCAAAGTCAGTGGTAAGTGTGTGAGGAAGATTTCATGCAAGAAGAGTCAGAGAAAAATCTAGACAGGAATTTAGTAAGGTAGAAATGATGTCGAATCCTATGAAAAACAGTGCTGGCTGGGTATGGTGGCTCATGCCTATAATCCCAGCACTCTGGGAAGCTAAGGAGGGAGGATCCCGTGAGCCTATGAATTTGAGAGCCCCATCTCTACAAAATATATATATATGTGTGTGTGTGTGTATAAAGCATGGTAGCATGGTAGTGCATGTCTGTAGCCCCAGCTAGTAGGGAGGCTGAGGAGGAAGGATCATTGTATCCCAGGATTTTGAAATCAAAGCTACAGTGAACTATGACTGCACCACTGGCACGCCACCCTGTGTAACAGAGTGAGGTCCTGTCTCTAAAAAAACAAAAAATTTTAAAAAGGCAGAGAGGAAAAGGACAAAGGAGACTGTGGTGAGACTATGTAATTCATTTCACAGTTGTGCTTTCCAGGACAATATATGAGGAAAGTAAGAACCATTTAAAATAAAGAGGTTGCAAAAGTTTTTCACTCTCAATAGCTAATATTTATATCTCACTGTATACTTAGTGGTGTATATATAGTATATATACGATATACTTAGCAGTGTTTTAAGTGCTTTAGATATAATAATTTGTTTAATCCTCACAAGGACACTCTGAGTATCATAATTATCTTCATTTAATCAATGAAGAAATTAAAGCATGGAAGAATTAAGTGACTTATTTACTAAATTATAAAGCAAGGATTAGAAGCCTCCAGAATTCTGACTCTCCACTATTTCACTGTGTTGTGAAACTCAGTCTCATTTCCACTGTTTTTCTAGGATGAAGGAGAAGTGTTATCCTGACATCCCAGACCCTTACAAGAGCAGCGTCCTATCATTAATCAAATCCAAGGTAAATGTTGGCCAACTGTTTGTCTACCATGATACACCTGTTAAGGACGAATCCAAGGCTGAGGCTGTAGTAACCATACTTTTTCCAGAACCTCCTCAGGAAAATATAGCAAAGTAAAAGTCACCACTTATCCCACAGCCAGGAAACAGGTTGTTGGAGCTTTGATTTTTTCTGAGGGGGAAATCATTTGGTTTTTAACATCAACTCCAGGCAACATGTGACCAGGAAGACACATGAACAAAATTGAAGCTCCGGGTGTATTTCACATACTTAGTGTACTTTGATACCTGCACATGTGCACACACATATTTCTATATTTTTACACATATTTACATTTTTTTGTTTTCTTTCCAGAAGCCTCACCTAACAATAATGAATGTCAGTGACTGCATTCCAGATAGTATTGAAGTTGTGAACAAGTCAGAAGGGCCTACATCAGCCCATCTTTACCTCTTTTCAACAGAAAAGAATTATTCTGGCCCTGGGCCCTGCATCTGGTTTGAGAACTTTACCTATAACCAGGCAACTTCCAACTCTGGTTCTTGTGGCCACATTCCAGTGCCCCCCGCGAAAGCTCCAGCAAGTCAGCTGGGACTCCTGACTTCACCTGAAAGTTTACAAAAGGAACTAGAAGAGAACTACATAAACTCCCAGGCAGAAATCCCAGCTGAAGAAAACAGTTTGAATTATGTGTCCCAGTTGGCTTCACCCATGTTTGGAGACAAGGACAGTGTCCCCAAAAATCCACAAGTGCCGCCACACTGTACAGAGTATAAAATGCAAATGGCAATATCCCCCAGTCCTGCCTCACCTCCCTCGCCCAACAGTAGCAGCCTCTCCTCAGTTACCCTCTTAGATCCAGGTGAACACCACCACTAACCAGCATGCCTGTTAAAGTACCTCTATGCTAAGGGGAGGAGAGCTGACACTATTCTCATCACCAGGGGCCTCGGTCCTTAATCCCGGTGAGCTCCCATTGTGTGTGGGTCTGATTTATGTAAGACCACTACAGTCTGGCTAGACTAAAGGCCAGAAGCTATGGGACTTGGCCTACCCGCTTGGAGCAGGCTTGCCCTAGAAATGGCAGGGTCAAGGGAACATGCTTACCTTGCCCTTGTGTGTTTTGGGCTCACCTTAGAACAGCAGACCTGAACTTGACATAAGGATAGGCATCAACTGCGCCACAGACCCCGCCCACTCAGTACTGTAAAGGGTGGTTGTGGTCCTAGAAGCTGTTTTCAGCGAGAAAACATTCCCATTACAATTTACCTCCATGCTTAATATCTTTTTTTTTTTTTTTTTTTTTTAGTTGGAGTCTCACTCTGTCGCCCAGACTGGAGTGCAGTGGCCGCTCCCGGCCACCGCAGCCTCGACCCGCTGGGCTCCGGCGATCCTTCCGCCTCAGCCTTCCAAGTAGCCGGAATTACAGGCGCGCGCTACCACGCCCAGCTGATTTTTTGATTTATTGTAGAGATGAAGTCTTACTGCCCAGGCGGGTCTCGAACCCGCGGGCTCAGGCAATCCACTCACCTCAGCCTCCCAAAGGCGCGGGATTACAGGCTGAGCCACCGAGCCCGGCTCATGCTTAATATCTTAAGGGTAAAGCAACTAGATGGAAGGCTTTCATAATGTCCACAGAAGATTTATTACTAGAACACGCATTGCCTGTGTCAGTTTGAGTATGTGTAATGAAAAAGTCATGGGTGTTTGAGACATCAAAACATAGATTTTAGACTTGCCTTGAAAGGATAAGAACTTGTAGTTCATTGGCACAGAAAAATGAGCTCTTTGGGGGGCACAGATTTAATCTTACAGGTAAAATGTGCGGATGAGTCAGTAAGATCACCGCAATGCTTCTGTCAAGCTTCCCACAGGGAAAGAGTGGGGTTGGTAAGGAACTCCTTGGTGTCAGCTGCCCTCCTGCTCTGCAGACATCAGTATCCTACATACATTTTGATGACTACCTCAGAATAGAGAAAGGAAAATATATTGAGTGACTCCATTCATTTTATGGTTCTACTTTTCTTTCAAGAACTCTAGATGATGTTTTCATCTAGCATCCTTTGGACTCTGCAGTGGGTTGTCTGGGTCAAGATAACTCGCTTACCGTCTTGTGTATATTCTTCTTATGCTCAGATAGTAAGTACAATGAAACCTCCTAATTTAGATGTAAGCATAAAAAGGTCTGTGGAGGGAGAAGTGCTGTGCTGGTGTCGGAGCAACTGTCTCCTTTGCATCAGGATGTGCAAAGCACCTGCTGCCTAGCTGGTGTTCTGTACATACTCAGTCCTTTTCCTTCCCACTCCTCGTCAACCCTTAGGTTTGTGTGTCCCCTTTCTAAACAAGCATGCAGCGGGATGCCTGTGTTTTCCTCCCTGCCTTCAGTGTGGTGGAATGACTTCGCCTGTGCCCATGCCTCTGGGCCCTGATGCCCTGCACAGTGCCATTCAATACCGTGCAGAGATAAGTATTTGCACCTCAAAGTAATGCGACGGCTGAATCGGCCTAAATAGACCTACACACACCAGTACTTCTGTTCTAGCCTTTCACCTTTTTTCTTATATATGACTAAGCCTCTTGCTGGATGTGCTTCTAACACAGGATGAAGCAGTGTCTTGATTAGTCTAATAGTTGTGAGAAGACTTTGGGGCCAGTATTGTGACCACTAACTCTATTTATTTATGCTCCTTTGTCATGATGCTCTTGATAATTTGAAACTTGTACACAATGTCAATGACATTGATGGCTGATTTGTAAATGGTATTTTTCATATAGGTTGTTTAAAAAATAATGCATGAAACCTTGAAAGTCACTTTTGCTATTACAATAAACCTTAATTCAAACATTTCATCATATTATGTTGTGTTTTATCTACCTCAATGAAATGAAAATCTAAAGTTACTCAGTCTAGTTGATAAATCGCCTCGTGAGATCAAAATGGAAATTACTTGGTATAATGCCAAACCTGCTAATCAGAATCTTTGGGGCATAGGGCCTGGAATCTATTATTCATCCGTTCCCAGACATTCAAATACCCGCCAAAATTTGAGAATCACTGGCCTACAAATTTGTGTTTGTAATATGATCATGATCTATAGTCTTGGCTGCATTCTTTCCCAATGTTCATAACCAAGTAAATTAGTGCTTAAAACTTTAGTTCTCAATACTGTAGGCCATCTTAACATGACTTTAAGAAGTGTTATTCTAAAACTTTGAGATTTATATTCACGTGTCAGAAGTATCAGTATTAAAAGAACACATTATAGATCATTTCAAACATACATCAAAGGCTGGGCATGGTGGCTCACATCTGTAATCCCAGTGCTTTGGGAGGCCAAGGTGGGAGGATCACTTGAGACCAGGAGTTCGAGACCAGCCTGGGTAACATAGCAAGACTGCTCTGTCTCTACAAAAAATTAAAAAGTTAGCTGGGTTGATGGCGCACTCCTGTAGTCCTAGCTACTCGGGAGGCTGAGGTGGAGGGATTGCTTAAACCCAGGAGTGTGAGGCTGCAGTTAGCTATGATCATACCACTATACTCCAGCCTGGGCAATAGAGCAAGACCTAATCTCTTTAGAAAACATACATAAGTAGAAGAGTTTAATTAAATCCCTATGTATCACCACCAGCCCTAACAGTCACTGCCCGTGGTTGTGTCAGCTCCATTCATACTCATTCATTTTCTCCTTACATTATTTTGAAGCAAATCATATGCTCTCATGGGTAAATATTTTTTCTAATATAGTAATACTGTAGATAAGCTGTTTTTTTTCTAATATGGTCATACTACCACTTAAAAAATTGTACCTAAAGTCATATTAGTAGTAATTCCTTTAAAATATCAGAATATTTGGGTGGCGGACAAACCTGTTACTAATAATCTCTAAATCCTGCATAAGCCTGTGTGTGGCCCTCAGCTGTGAGCAGGAAACCTGGAGGATTGCGGCTGGGAGTAGGGACGCTTCCTAAATTCCAACACCTAACCCATACCATTTACAGGCAACCTGGTTATTTATTAGAATGTGTATTAAAAAAATTGACAGTATCTGACAATGTAAGTCTAACATGTGAATTAGACTTAATATCCAGAACTGCTAAGATTTCTGTTGAAAGATAAAATGGCTGTCATCTCAAAGAACTTACAAAACATGTTAAACACTTTGCATAAAGTAGAACTTTTAAAACACTGGAAGAGAAACAACAGGAGAAAGACTTCAGAATTAGTTAAAATGATGTCTATAACACAGTAACTAGGTATATTCAATTTGAAGGACTAACATATGTAGTTCTTATTCCCTTAAACATTAAAGAAACAAAAGTTTAGTATATTTCGGTTTTTTAAGTCAATACAGTAGTAGTACTGTATTTGTATTTTTATATGCTAAAGAGTTGAAAATGAAAAAAAAAACTTTTTCAAAGTTTAGCGATATTATGACTTTTCTCAAAGATCAGCTGCAGGTGATAATATTAAGTATGTTTTTTTTTTAGTTAGTTTGGGGGTCAACTAAGTTTTTAATCACATGTCGTGGAAGGCAGTGGGAAAAATGATACACAAAAATGTGTCAAACTATGTCTTAAAGTGAGACATATTTTACCACATTGTATACATCGTAACAAACCCTAGCACTGAATTTTCTAGTCCAGAATTGGTAATTTGCCTTTGTGGTATTCTCTTCTGCCAGTAGGTGGCTATAGATTAGTTTATCTGATCAGGACAGATTATGCGGGAGAAATCAAGTAACTTCCACAGAAAAGTCACTATCACTCTCAATTATATTGTATAGTACTTCCTCAAAAATTCAGGACTGTTCTATGAAAAGACAGATCCATTTTTCAAACTTCATAACGATTTTATATTTAAAAATTTTGATTTAAATATGAAATGTTTAAAAGAAAATATGATTTTAAAATATTTGAAACAGCTGTTCTGCGTGTTATTGAACTGTCTGTGGTACCTAAAAATCATCTTTACTGGGAGTCACACGTGTCAGCATCAGCAATACCTCATTCAAATCAAGGCCACATGACCACTGACTGTTTTATGTTTTCAAACAAAACAACATGAGTTTAAGAATTTTAAGTACATTTTATTAACATTGTATCCCTTTGATAAGATTATGCTTTAGGAGGCTTTTAATGCCCTTGACATAAACTGTACACATTATACAAAAACAAGAAAACCACAACAAAAAAATCAAGGTGAGCAAAACCATTTGGGAACAAATCTTATTTAAATTATACACAACTCAATGAAATATTCTTACGGAAAATATATAAATACTTTTTCTTTCTATGTTACAGTTATACAATATAAATCAGATTTCAATGTCTGTTCAGTGACCTACAAACACCAGAACCTCCAAATATGTAGCAGCGTATTACTAAATAAAAAAAGAAGAAAATCACGTGGCTAAAGAGCATTTAAGTCTGAGATTTTTTTCACAATCCCTTACCACTTTTCAAAACTAATTTACACCATTTGTTTTACAATGCAGCTTTAGGGTTTCTGACAGGCATTTTCCAATAATTATCTATAAAATTTTCTCACTCCCCCTCTCTGCCTCAAGACTTTGCATTTTGTGCTAAATCAACCTAGTTAAGTGGCAAAATTGAAAAGTATTGTTTTTGGCATAAATTATATTTTTTCAAATTAAATATTTTATAAAGAAAGTAAAACAACATGTGCAATTTAAGCATGCTGTGGTGTGGCTATACACCTACATTATAAAAATACTCCAAAGGGGGAAAAATTCCACATTCTGTGAGTCATATAAACCTACTGTGAATGAAAAATACCCTGGGAACCTGGAACTAAAAGAAAAAAAGAATGTCCCTGGAAAGATTCTCACAGATTTCAATGTTCTTTGATAAGCACTGCTAATAATTTCACTAGGATACATTTTTAATGAGACTTTCACTGTAATGATACTCTTGTTAAGATGGTAACAGTGTATTTTGTTAATGCGGAGATGATGGAGACCATTCCCATATTGCATTTTGGAAAACTTGAAATGTTGGTTCATTGCAAACAGCTTTTCTCATGAAAGTCTCTCAATTCTTTTTTTCCATGTTTTAATGGATTGTGAATGTGAAACAAAACTGGAAGAATAGGACGAAAGGGGGAAAAAATCCTTACTTCCAAAGAACATTTCCCAAAGTAGTTTACAAAGCTCATCTCACACAAAATTAGCACCTCACTCTTACCATGCAAAAATAATTGCAGTATAATTTGAATGACAGACAATTTGGTTTTTATTGCTTAATGATCTGTGCTTTAATGTGGGGATAAAAGGCATCCTCTGAATGGAATGAAATAAAATTTTATATAAATAGCAAAACTAAATAAGCATTGACATCTCACTGTTGAACATTTTGCCACTGAGACATGCCCTGAAAAACTCAGCTTTAATTATCTCAAGCTCCAGAAAAAAGAGCTGAAAACTATTAAAGCCACCATTTCAAAAAGATTTGTACGCATTATTATAATAATAATGTATATACTTCCAAAGGGCCTCGTTTAATGTCACTGTCTTATAGAATGTTCTTATGCTACTAATCTTTTGTTAGATCTACTTAAGAATAAACAGTAAACAAAAGAATAAGAAATTTTAGAGCATATTTGATTATGAATACTAAATTTCTAATTTTCTTATTTATCAGTACTTAGTATGTAAAGCTGAAATCTGTTCTTAAAAAAAATTCAATTAGAAATGACAGTTCACTTTACAATTAGAAATTCACAGTTTACAACCAGCACAAGTGCCCCCAATTCCTCCAAATTATTCAATAATTATTAATAGTAAAAATTTATATGGACTAAGATTAATTCTAAAATCTTGAAAAACTACAGTATTGACATTATTTTGGTATTCTATAGTCTGGTAATATCTGTTATTTATAGATGATTTTCTCAATTATTTATATTACTGCAGATGCCATTCCTAACCTTTTCTGCTATATTTTTAACATCTAAGTTAATCACTTGGCACTGCATGTATTTTTCACCATAAAGTGTACTTTTATACAAACACGTACTCAAAGAAAACGTATTAGACCTGTCAGTGAAACCATGGATAAACCAAACAGCACTACAAATTTAAGTATAGACTTTTCTTTTAGAATATTGATAACCACAAAGCTCTGAGTATCTCCCCAAAGTAAGTGCTATAGGCATATATGATGATGTTTACATACACGTCTTTCAAAGTAACAGTAAAAACAAAACAAAACAAAACAAAAAACAAACTGTTCTGGCTAATTCTAAGCCTTAATTCCAAGATGGAGGACCAAGGTGGGATATGGGGATGGTGTGTGTGTGTGAGAGACAGAAAGAGAGTGAGAAAGAAAGAGAGAAAGAGAAAGAGAAAGAGAAAGAGGGAGAGAAAGAGAGAGAGAGAGAGAGAGAGAGAGAGAGAGAGAGAGAGAGAGAGAGAGAGAGAGAAAGAGAGAACTGTTAACTTTTGAGGGATTAAACCACAGATTTTATACTCTATATTAACTGAGGTAGTGTAAAATGAATGTCTAAAATATGTTAATCCCATTATGAATAAGATTACTATATTACTTCCTTTGGAGTTGTTAACCACTACTGGGTCTAGTATCTCTGACATTTGGTTCTCTGGAAAGGCAGTTTAATTATCCAAGACCAAAGACCAAGGCGACAGGCAACGTTCTTAGAAGTACTGTTAATATTTAAATAAACACTTGGGTTCAATGATAAAGTTAAAAAAAGTATTTTTATCTTCAAAGGAGTCTTATGAGAGAAAATCTGAAGAACCACTTTTTCATATAAGTAGCAGCTTACAGCCCTTATCTGCTTTGTTATAACGTAAGTTGCTACACAGTGCACATAAGAACAATTCACTGAAGTGCAGTTGAAGAGGTGTTATGAAGTGAGATGAAATGCTTCATCCCAATTGGAACTTTCAGTGCCAGTAAATTAAGAAAAAAAAAAGTATCTCTGTGAGTTATGTTTCCTAGTTCACAGGGTTCTTAACAGAGATCTCAAAAGAACAAGCCCATTACAAAAAGGATCAGCAACATGGGAAAATATTAACCAAGTGCTATGACTGTGTCAAAGCTGATGTGTAACTGTAAAAATGGTATACACAAATGAATTTAAAAAAGGGTCCTAATCAGCCCAGCTGGATATTTTTCTATTTATATTTATATATAGATCTCAAAAAAGATAATCTTTTCATTTACAAGCATTCTAATGATGATGGCCATGCTATTTTTTATATACAAATTTGCATATATGTTTAATTCCTGTAAAGAATTCCAAATATCTTTAGACATATACAAATTAAACAAACAAACAAAAACCTTGCCCTCATCAACTTAACTTCACAAATGTGATAAAGGCAATTACTGTATTCATAAACTCACCTATCACTGCATTTAGTTTGTGCAAAACAAAAATATTGATATAAAAATTAAGTTACTGCTGCTTTAAAATTTGGTACTTAAGGCTTTTCACTACAATTTAAAAACTTAATAATAAGTCTTTTATTAATGATTTTTTAAAAGGAAATATGGCTCTTCTTTTCCAATGGAATGTGTAAATTGCAAACAAATCTATCTTTTCCTCAGGAGATCCAAAGTATTACTTAATGCTTTTCTTTGCTTTAGGTCTAAACTAATAGTGCTTGTTCAAGTTCTTATTTAAAATGATAATATGGAAAGGTGACAAAAAAAGAAGTCCACTGAAAATATATGCATCCTATAAATGGGAAATATTTTTAATTAAACTGTAAAATGATTTTCTGATTTTAATCAGGAACTGTAGTGAAAAACCTTAACTGGTTTAAACAGCCTACAACAACACATTGCAACAAAACTGAAGAGATGGAAAACAAATAAGAATCTTTATGCAAATCTAGTGACATAAAAATAACTTATAAGTCCCAGGTTGTTGAGGCTCTTCTTTCGCTTTGAGGTTATAAACCTCTGAAGTAGTGTTACAAACATTAAGAAAAGTGTGAAAGGGCCAAAGCTCCCCCTCTTAATACCAGCAGTTATAGCACATCCCATTGTGGTAACAGGATGTAGCCTTACAGACATTGATTCCAGGTTTCCACGAATTAGTTAACAAACAAGGCATCTTTACATCTACCCTAAAAAAGAATGTTTAACTGTTCAGAAGTAACTGTGTGAAGGGTGCTTCTGCATATCCCATTATTGTTCCACTTTCATTATGCTTTTAAAATGAAAAAATAGGAAACTGATGTAGGTTTTCAGTGCTTGGCTCTTGCATACAATGGTAACTCTTAAAACTGTGGTAATGAATCATGAACCCTTCAGAGGGTTCAACAGGGGAGAGAATGAAGTTGTTTTGGTTAGGGAAGTCAGCAGTTCCAACTGTTCATGTACCAGTAATTGCTGGAACAGTGTACAGAAGATACTCCTGTCTTTGCTGCCCAGTCAGTCAGTATTTTCTGAGGCTTTTAGGAAATCCACAAATATGAATATATATAGTATAGACCTATATACATCATAAATATGAGGTCAGGATTCAGCAGATGTATCAACTATAGGTTGCTTTGGTGGTATTGCCAACACAGCCTCTGCTTCTTCATGCATCTAGGCAAAAAAAGGCAAGTCATTAATGACTTTTAAAAAAGCATGATATAGACATAATCTCTCTTGTAACTTAATTCAAACACAGAATTATTCTTGGAAGATAAAGTTCAGATATACAAATCCTACTTACTTGTAAAAACTGTACATCTTGAAATAATTCTTGTATGAACCTCCGACATGGAAGTCTAAATGTGCAGTGTGACAGCAAATGGGAAACCTCAGAGTAAAGGCATATGTCATCAAACGTTTGAGGATACTTCTCCTTAATTCTAAGATAAAAGAAAAGATTATGGTGTGATGAAAACTGTCTACATAGTGTGCTTATTTTTCCTCCAAAAGCATCACTTACTTTAAGAATAGTTTTTTCTCCAGGTATTGATTGGATGGTATATTTGGGGTGATGACTTAAGAAAATAAAATATTAAATATTCTTATCTCACACTTAACTTAGATATTCTGAGTTTGCATTTTCTTAAAATTAAGATTATCAAAACCTGAATGGTTTTTGTAAAGTTAGAGATATTCTTTTTCACTGGCATGGAAACTGCAAAATTTATTTATTAGCTTAGGATCATTCAAATATTTTCAAAATTAAGTTTTAAAATAAAAATATGTTTTTAAAGTTAGACTGTAGTTATTAATATCCTGGATTGGCCTATCTGTCCATAACTTTCAATACTTCAAACAGTGGCTCTTAGCTGGGAGAGCACCTCAGAATTGGCTGTGGGTAGGATGAGGCATACACAGGTTAAGGCCCTGCTCCTACAGCCCTGGTTCAGTGGTCTGCTATGGGACCCTGACATCCATATCACCTTTTTGAAAAGTCCATAGGAGTCTCTGCGGTGCATTTCTTTTGAGAACCCTTACTTTATTAATTAATTTATTTTTTATTTATTTATTTTTTATGAGTTGCAGTCTCACTCTGTCACTCAGACTGGAGTGCAGTGGCCGCTCCTGGCCACTGCAGCCACGACCTGCTGGGATCGGCGATCCTTCCGCCTCAGCCTTCCAAATAGCTGGAACTATAGGCATGTGCTACCATGCCTGGCTAATTTTTGATTTATTGTAGAGATGAGGTCTCACCAAGTTGTCCAGGCAGGCCTCGAACCCGTGGGCTCAGGCAATCCACCTCAGCCTCCCAAAGTGCAAGATTACAGGCTGAGCCACTGAGCCCGGTGAGAACCATTACTTTAAATAGTACAAATAAAGGTGCTAAATATTCAGTCTAATTTTTCTTTTATCATGCTGCTGTGATTTAGAAAAACTATAAAAATTCCATACTTTTTATTAAGAGAAAAAAATTAAATCAAGAAAAAGCAAGTTCACTTCTTTATATAAGCCTACTTTCCTCGAACTTTTTAGTCTCAGAACTTCCTGCCTTACTTTTGTGGTCTTTACTGAGGACACCAAAAAGCTTACTTTTTTGTGGGTTACAGCCATCATTAACTATTATATTAGGTATTAAAACTGAGACAATTTCAAAATATATATTTATTTTAAAAATAAACCCACTACATGTTAACATAAATATCTTAAGAAAAATAACTGTATTTTCTAAAAATAAAAAAAGGATTATTTTACATTTTTGCTGATCTCTTTAGAAGTTTGGTTTAATCAAAGATAGCTGGATTCTCATACCTGCTTTTGCACTCAATCTGTTACCATTTGTTGTTTTGGTTGAAGTACATAAAGAAAAGCTAGTCTCACACAGATATGTAGTGCAGTTTAGAACTACTGATGTAAGCTAATTAGCTTAACTTTTGAAGTATTTCCACTATCTTTTCACAACTTAAAAGGCAGTACAAATAATATTTATGCACACAGCTTACTCACGTTAAAAGCCCAGTTTCATGACATTTTGTTGAAACTGAACTACTCAAATTAATGACTAATCTTAGAACTTCTTTGCGAAGGAGTATACGGCACATTGGTGTATCATCTGGAATTGTTTTAACACCTGAAAAGAAGATTTCAGTGTGAAGTTAAATATTTTATATATCATAATAAAAATGATGATAACTCATGAAATTTATTTTTAAACTTCACCTAGTTAAAGGTCTAAAACTAAGATCGACTACACATGATCTGCCAATCATTCAGGAGCAAAACTGATGAAAGCAGCCAGCTAAGAGGAAATATGTCAATGGCTGATACAGGTGAAGTATTTAAGAGTCTCCTCACATTGCTTCACTAAAACTGATTTACTATAGTTTTGAGACAACTTTAATTTACAGAATTTAAGAAGAACAAACAAAGCCAACTAGTAAGTACAGTTTTATTAATGATGATTGGAATTGAATCTGAAAACTCACCTAATAACAATTCTGTGCTTTTGGTGCTGCTAGCTGAGCCTTCTTGAGATACCCCATCACTGCATCCAGAAATCCCTGAAAACTTAGAGGGAACCACTTCTAAGGGATTATGGATAGTCTGCTCACACCAATCAGAATATGGAATATCTTGGAGGTCTGAAGAAAAAAGTATTTCAATTAAATCACCATAATGGCTTAATTCCCATGTTTATATGGCACACTTGTAAAAGATATAATCCCTTGTAATTTCTTTTCAGTTTTCAACAATTACTCTCCATGATGAAGAGTTTAAAAGTAAGTAAATAAATATTAACTGATTGATTGAGTTGGGGTCTTGCTGTTGCCCAGACTGGAATGTAGTGGTATAGTCACAGCTAACTGCAGCCTCGAACTTCTGGGCCCAAGTGATCTAACCTCCTCAACCTCCTGAGTAGCTGGGACTACTGGTATGTGTCACTACACCCAGGTAATTTTTGTTGTTGTTGATATTTTGCAGAGATGAAGTCTCACCATGTTTCCCAGGCTGGTCTCAAACTCTTGGCATCAAGCAATTCTCCTACCTTAGCCTCAAAGTAAATGCAGACTGCTTAGAAAGTAAATGCTTGGAGAGTGAAATTGTTAAATTCTAAAGAAATGTATAAATAAGACTTATTTTCCTAAATAACAAAAATATAAGAATTGTGATTATTTTAAAAACTTAAATAATATGTATATAGAATTAAAATGGAAGGCACCTTAACTACCCCCTTTGCCCTCCTACTCTCACCTAATATATCCAAAGGAAAATGACATTAAGAGTTTGAGTATATGTGTGTGTGCATATATATATATATTTTTTTTTTTTTTCTCTCCCAGATCTCTTACTGTTTTAATTTTCTCTTTCTTGTTCTTTGGATATATTGGTGATATTTTACTATATGTATTGTTCTATGGCTTGCTTTTATCTACCATTTAATAAATAACAATATAAGAATCATACTTCCCTGGTTTACCTAAAGTTCAGTTCATTCCTTAGAATTATATTTCCTATACTACCCATGCATTGCTAGGGTAGTCCTAGATGGGATTTTGAACTCGACCAAACATCTTACTATTGCTCTAAAGCTTTTTTGTTTTTAAAATTTCCTGGGCATAATGTGTAAATGCCCGGGAAATTTTGAAAGATACAAGTAATTACAGCAAATGAAAATCAGGAAGTCTTTGATTACCATTTTAGGAAATAGCACAGGCAACCTACAAAAATCACACAACCTTAGGGCTATAAGAAACAATGGAAATTAGTTAAAGTTTTCATCTTATAAAAGAAAACAGATCCAGAGAAAGAAGACATACACTTAGCTAAAAGGTAAGATCTCTTGAAAGCTAGTGCAGTACCCTCTCCTCTACAGTATGTTGTCAGAGAAAAACAGCTACATTTTTAGAAGTCTAGGAAATTAGATGAGTGGTAACCATACAACTCTCTCTCCCTATCTTGGTTTCCACAAAATAGTAGTATCACTATCTCATCTCATCTCCAAGCACTTCCTAAGACTACTATTTAAAGAATACTCAAAGTGTCTGTTCCTTGGAAAAGAAGATCTATAAGTTTAGGATAGTTTTAAAACTTTGGTTATTAAGAAAATTATCTGCCAGGCACTTAAAGAGACATAAGCTACTTAAATTATACATTGATTTTTAAAATAAAACTACTGGAAAAAGGCTTGAGAATTAAAGATGTACTTAATATTTTTTTCATGTAGCTTCCCTCAGTAATGCTGGATAATCAGGTAAGAGATAAATGTGTTACTTCAGAGTTGAAGATGAGCTACCCAGGAAGTAATGGCAAAATATTCCTGCACAAGTAGCAGTAAGAAAGTTATACTTTCCTCAGTTTACATGTTTCTAAAAGTTATAGATTAAATTAAGTTTATTTCAGTCTCACTTTCAATCAGTAATAATTTCTAACATTTCTAATCTGTAGGAATCACATCCTGTTTCTAAAGATGCTATTCATTCTCATAAAAAAAAAAAAAAAAATCATTCCTCTAGGTAAGTAAGGTTCAAAAATAATAAGTTTAATCCCAACTGAGGAAGTAAAATAACATATGAAGCATAACATAAGTTTTAGTACATTTATTTATTTTTTGGTGACAAATGCAAAACCACATGTACAACATTTTAAATGAGATAATTACATGCATTTAATAGAAACTTCAAAGAACATGTGGGCAGAATATGAGCATTATTTATAAACTGGCAGAATAAATAGTACCAAAAATTCTTGGAATCGAAGAAAGGCATAGTTGGCAAGATAATGCCTTTGACTAGCTAAGACAAAACTATGTATTCTAGACTGAGGATATTTCCCTTTAAAGACCTTTACTTTCCATCCTGTATGAATAATTAATGTATGCAATGAACTTCAGACACACTTTCACTCAATATATTTCATTTCAAGACTATTTTTTTTTTTTTTTTTG